TAACAGATGCGAAGGTAAACATTATGCATTTCTTTTGCAAATGTTACCTTACCTTTCTAGTATCTTGTAAAGTTTGGTGTACCCTTAGTTCTCTGTTCGTGGCGTGGAAGAAGGGGTGCGGACGGCGCCTGCGCGGTTGCCAGGGAACATTCACGCCCATGAACCTGCACGATGGGCTCAGGGAATACGCCATCACAAGGTCAGAGGTCAGATCATAACAGGGCCATGACACTCAAACAATTGTAAATGAATGATTTATTTAAAACAGGTATGAAAGCGAAATAAACACACGCTGGGGACTTTTGTCCTGCCATGTAAAATTTACTTTGGGTCACATTAAGGGCCACATAAAGACACGTTTGCAAGATATGTATGTTGTAGCATGTAACATGGGACTTCTAGTTGACTCCATGCATGCAACTACTGTTCTTCGCAAACTATCACGAGTCAAAGTTTTAGCCCATGCAACTAAATGTTTAACTTTGTACTTGGTAAATAAAAGTAGTAACGAACTGCCCTTTGTCTTAATGTATATCTTATACATATACACTATGCCATACATTTTACTGAGTCCAATTGTCGTGCATGCAGTAAAGTTATTCTTCTATTTCTTCAGCGCACGAGACGAACGCTTCGCTCCCATTGCACAAGTCGAGCTGCGAAAGCTGCACTGTTCCGTGTCGCTACTCACGGAGCTGGAGGATGCAGACAGCTATTTAGACTGGGAGGTTAGCGTACTTTTGTTTATACTGCAGCCAGAAATCAGATTTTTAGATCAAAAATTTTCCTGTTTTTCTTGCATCCCATCTTTTTTGTTTCTATGTCATTTTATTTCTCGCACAATCAATCGAAGCTTCCTGAACGCATTTATAACTTATATATAATATCCCCACACCAATTTTCCTTATTTTTTCATCTACATCTTCGTATGACATAATGGACCAAAACCTCTCACGGGGCTTAGTGTCCATGGATACGTAGCACATATTTTTGTGCAATCATAGTTTTTTTCTCTCTTAAAATTTATCTATTCCTAATTCTAAAATCTATCTCTACAGATCGGCACCCATGGAGTCAGGATCGAGTTTGTGGACGAGGAAGGCTCTGAGCGAACAGCGACGTACTTACCACATGTGCCGGGAGAACGTGGTACAAGAAAACCTAGGAATAACTTGTAATTACCCGTGTAATAGTAATAGTACAGTTTGCTGTATTACCTTAGCGGACTAACTGCCCTGACATGTTATCTGTCTGTTTGGTCAATTTCTACTCTTTTCAGCCGCTTCTGAAACCTGGTCGAGGTACGTTCGACAGAGAGGGTCTATAGGGTGGCCAAAGACAGCACTAGTATCAAATTGGCCAGTATCCATTCTCAAGAGAGGGTCCATATACACGCGTACGCCACCCAGGGGTGTACGTACCTGGCGAATGGATACAGCCTGGCCAATTTATACTGGCTTTGGCCTCCCTAGGATCTGCTTGGAGATTACGTTCTGACCATTTTCATGTGTTACATAATGTAATACATGTATTACTGTAACTTATATTAGAAAACACAATAGCTTCAGTCTCACTATATACTAGCTCTGATAGAATCATATATTAGTATAGTTCATGTACATTGTATCGACCCCTGTTGTTCCCTTTTGCCATACATTGTACCAGTTACAGTTGTTGAGCAATAAAGTTGATTGATTGATTGATTGTCTTAAACACCCCCCAGGATGGAACCGTGAGCAGACCATTAACCGGCTCCTCCGGAAGGGCGGCTACCGGAGTCTGATCACAGACGACTTGCGGCGCAGCCTAAAACTGACGCGGTACCGCGCACAGAGGGCCACCGCCAGCTTCACCGACTTCATGGCCTATCGAAACAACGGTCGTACTTTACAAGAACATAATGTTACGGTTAAGCCATGAAAGGTTAGCTATTGTACACTGTCTTTTCCATATAAAATCACTATCTTAAGTTTATACACGAGTGATTTGCTACCTCCAAAGGGCTTTCTCTTTCTCTAAGACATTTCCTGTTGCTAAACATGATTGAATTACATGTACATGTATGTGACCCAGCTAAAGAATGGAAAGTCATCTAATGAATTTGGAGATTTTTTTCTTGAAAAGTCTAAATCAATCCTAGCATTTTACAACAAGCTTGCAACTATTAATTTAGCTTGGATAGAGTTACTACGATAGTTGACTTTTGTAGTGTTTGGAAACAAGTGCAATCTTCAGTACATACCACATTTTGTTTGTAAGTACAACAGGATGTTTATTCACATTTTCTTTTGCCGTTAGTACAAGCACTTTGACTAACTGAGAAAATTTTCTTGGTCCATAGGTCCCAGCTGATGTGTAACAACAAACAGTATCAAAGCTTTATTTCTGGGACATACAAGTTATAGAAATTAAAGATTAAATCTTACAACTCCAGCAAACAAATATAACATAACTTAGTTTCAACAGATGGCTGTTTAATCACTTAATGAAAGAGATGAACTGGAACTTAGTAATACTTAACAAAGCAGTAGGTACAGCAGAAAATCTTGTCACTATTTCATTCTGTTGAATCCACATCTTAAAGTGTTATTTTATCATGTTGTCTTTCCACACAAATGAGCTTTGGAATCATCATCATCATGGAATACATCTTAGGAATACAGCATAGAAATCATAGAAAAACTGTACATCTGACATCAGGTTTTGGTAATGTTTGTCAGTTTTCCTTGGATCATTTTTCAGGGTCTGCATCATCAAACTGTCCCACCTCCATGGGCTCTGTAGGCTGGCCGGGGTCCTCTTCTTCTGGAGGAATGTACAAATTATTATATACATTACAAGACAATCATCCTCACATGATGACATTCTCTCCCTTTAGTGGCAGTTTCATGAAGGGCTAAAAGCCTTAAAGCCTCAAGGTTCGCCCTTAATAAAAGTTGGGTAGCCTTAGTTGTATCTTCAGAGAAAACAGAATGTGAACATTGTTGTTCATGACTACATGTATCTGCTACAAGGAAAGAAATTTCTTTCTGTAACTTTAGTAAAAAGTAAAACAAAGATCCTGTCAAAAAAACTGTTCTTACATGCCAAATTTGAACACTTATCAAACAATTCACAAGCCTGAAAAAGCAGACCTTGGTGACTAACATCTGCCTCTATGTTGAATATAGTGTACACCACTTATACAATGTACAATGTATATTACTTACTTGTACCTCGGCCACTCCTTTCACAGTGCACACTCCCCATTATTAAGCTTCTTACCTCTGCCGTTCTGTTCACTGTGCACACCCCCCATGGTGTGTGAGAAATCCCCTGCAGCAGCCTGCCCCTCGTGCACACCTGGCACCTGTATGACGCTCTCCAGGTGTGCCAACGTGGCGCGACCCTCTTCCGTCAGGTGTTCAAACCCCTCCGCATCCTCATAGTACTCAGCATCTCCACAGCCTTCGTCTTCTGTGAGATAAAAAGTTGTTCTTTCAAGTAGTGGCATAGTTGTAGAGGAGACCCCTAGTGAACCCAAATAATATTGCAGCTATCTGCTCAGAGTCCCACATAATACTTAATGTTACTCGATGAAGAAGAAATGTGGGAGATTGAAAGATGTTCTCTAATCTGAGACAGATGACTACTGACCCCAAATTATATTGCAGCCAACTCACATCATCACTTACTGATACTTTGGTTTATGCTATTTAACAGGATATTGTATGTATTAACATGGTTCTCTGGAAGAGGGTATACTTGTGAACAGAAAAGCTAGAGAAGTTTTGAGGATTTTCTTGATTTTCCTAAATGGGTTTTGCTTTACGTTGACAGAGGTCAAGACATCTAGGCTTTTGTTGGCTTCACAATGATTGCTACCTTGCAAGGTAGCGATGGTTGGTTGGGAACAGGGCTCAAGTCAAAAACAGGTGGACACTATGTAACCATGGTACTTACCATATTCCTCCTCCTCAGAGTCCAGGTCCTCTGGGTCAGGGTGTAACATCTGACAACCACTCATGGCCTGGAACATTGGGTCCACTGAGAACAGTCGGGGAAAAACAGTTTGTTAAAACAGTTTGTCACTCCCACAGATATCATGTATGGTCAATTTAGGAAGATCTCATGAACTTTTGAATTATGATTTAAGTCAAATATTCCTATCCTCATTCAAGGCTCAAGGTTCAAATATATTTTGTTTATTCACAAAATCATGCCCAAAGGCTCATTGCTTTTACAGAGTCAAAGATAGTCACTCACAAAGATAGTACAATACAATAATACAAGTACTTATAGGAAACAGACAACTTACTGTCCAGAAATTCTTATACGTCTACTATATGTATTACACTTGCTCTTGTGAGGTTTGACTTAATATATCACTGTGGCATTGACTATCTTTCCCTAGACTTCGTGATGTAATGAGATCTACACTGTAAGAGTCAATACACAGTGTCGCTCTAAACAGAAAGGGAGAATCTAGCTATTTTTGAAGTTAGTCATAAAATGCCAAAATACTCAACTTCAAGCAACTAGATATCATTTTGGAAATGGTCAAAATCATATCCAGTTGCTTGAGTAACTGTTTTTTGGTCTAGCTATATTTGTTTAATTGTTTTAAATAGAGAGGTAGATAAAGTAACAGTGATTCTCACGTGCTGTGTTGTCCTGTGGGATGAACCTGACTTCTGTCATGTCAGCCTCTTCCTCCTCCTCTCCCTCACTGCCTGACCCTGTGTCTGCTGGGGTGGGCTCTTTTTCTGGAATGGTGAAGTACTTTTTCACGTTCAGGACTCTACAGTTAGACTTACCCAAATTTTCAATTGGTCCCCTCCAGTCTTTGTCAAGAAATTCAAATTGAACGGAGTTGAACTGTAAAAAGTATGTCCAACTTTTGGTCTTAACTGGTTGGAAATAACAGTTCAACCTGTTTGAAGTGTTATTTCGAACACAGTACTGATGTCTTAGCTTGAACTTTTCTGTACCTGTATCTGTATAGCAAGTATAACTTCCCTTCGGCATGACACACCAGCTTCACAGACATGCAGCGCGGTGGCAGCTGGCTACATTACACCGAACGACTTGTTACACCCTTGAACATCTAACTCTAGAAATTGTTTAAAGCTATCTAATAACTTTTAAGCTAAGACATCAGTATTTTCACATCTCCTACATCATGTAGTCCTTACCTGTGATATCAGAGTCCAGCATGATGTAGAGACACTGCTGGGGAAATGCTGTCTGGTCACGAGACACCGCATGGAGAGAGATGGACGGGTACTGCAGGTTAAAGCCTTCCCCTCCGGGATTGGTCCAGGCAACACAGCTGTACAACAAACAAACAAACAGATAAACAAGACATATAAACAAACAGATAAACAAGACATATAAACAGTATTGACAGTTTGAAAGTACAGTGAGCGTCAACGTCAACAAAAGGACTAAGAGTAAGAACTAACACCATTGGACTTGCCCTACTCCGTGGAGTGGCTGTCAACACAGTAGAGGCATTGTCATTAGATCCTAAGCTTTAAACAATTGTCTAGAGTTAGAAGTTCAAGGGTTAGGTGTAACAAGTCGATCAGTGTAATGTAGCCAGCTGATGCCGCGCCGCGTGCCTGCGAAGCTGGTGTGTTACGCCGAAGGGCAGTTATACCAGCTATACAGATACAGAACATGGAAGAAGAAGTAGAAAAAGTAAAAAAAAGATTTCAACGTGTACTTTAGTATAATAATATAATAAAACCTTCTTGACATACATATCGGTAAAAAAGGTGTTAAAAATTTACAAAGAAAAAGGTACAAGGACAAAGCTTGAATCATTATATGCCATGGCAACAACGTAACATCTTCAAAACGTACGAGTAATTCAACATGCACATGTGTTTTGAAAAGCGCGTGCTAGTTGATGGGGGAAGGGGGCACATCCGTACCTCTCTGCAATGTACAAAGTTCCGTCTCCCAAGTTCTTCTCGCCGACGACAGCCACCGTGTTCTTTTCCGTGTGCCTCACGCCTTCCGTGGGAGGCGGCAAGTTTGTCAGAACCACCATTTTTAGTCTTTCTAGCCGCTACACGTGCGCAAAACACAAAAGAAATACGTTTCCGCGACGCTTCTAGAGCAGATAACCTCTGACCTTGGGTGGCTAGTCTTGCCAAGTTGCCGCCTGCGAAATATACGCAATATTCTGTTAAACTTTATAAAAAAGCAAAAATACAACTTGAGCTATACATACCAAAATATTTAAGTACCAAAGGCCACACTTATGATATCGATGGATTACAATTTCGTACAATTTATAATTTATCGTGCAAAAATTAAGGCACCGATAAAATTGCAACAGGCGCCCTTTGTTTACGCTACCACACAGAGAAAGTGTACGGTACAAAACAGTGAAGCCAAAGAGGGTAAAATTTTGTCCTTTTTTTACCGGTTTTGTTTCGAGTTTTTGTAAGAGAAACACGAGAGAACCATGGCGCAAGGTTTCGGCGAAAGAATGAAGATGCTTAGGCTAGCAGAGGACGTTCTGGAAGCGATGAAGAAAAGTGTAGAAGAAAACTGTGAAAAGAGGTATGGTTTTAGAAAGTGAATATCTTTACTTTATATAGGCCTTGGTCAAGTTTTATTAATAGTTTTGACGTATACTTTACCTACGCATGCATACCCGTGTCACATGCATACATTTGTAATGGTATGATCCTTCTCTCTTCCACCAATTTGTTGCATGCAGAAAAGAATTAGAAACCTGTTAATTGCCCCCCCCCCCAACATGAACAAAGAGTGTACTGCTAATAATTTCTGCATTTCTGTGCTACGTGCTTCAATTTGGCTTTATGAGGAATTAAGATTAATGCATGTATTACTTAGGAAAATCTAGCTCTAAACCTGCTCAATAGACCCATCAACAGACACATCACATGATATACGTGAACCAGCTAAGATAGAAATTAGATGGTTGTTGCAGTGTATAGGAAGAAATATAGAGGTGTGTGTTAGTGTGTGTGTGTGTGTGTGTGTGTGTACAAATGTGTGTGTGTGTGTGTGAGAGTGAATGAGTGAGTGAGTGTATGAGTGAGTGAGTGGGTGAGTGAGTGAGTGAGTGAGTGAGTGTGCGTGAGTGAGTGAGTGAGTGAGTGAGTGAGTGAGTGAGTGAGTGAGTGTGTGTGCGTGAGTGAGTGTCTGTGTGTGAATGGGTCAAACTGTGTGGGTGTGAGTGGGTGTATCAGTCAGCCAGTCAGTGTGAAAGTTTGAATGAGATAACTACAACATCAAAGCCTTGATTTTCCCAGTGACAAGAAGAGGAATCTGACAGAGCTTGTGTGAGTGAATGAGTGACTCAATGAATGAGTGAATGAATGGGTGTAAATGAGCTACAATACTGTATTGTAACAATACTTTACATGTACAACATTTGAACCCTCAATTTTGCTAGTGACAAGGAGAGGAACCTGACAGAGTTTGACGGCCTGCTGAAGGAGACATCAGGAGAGAAGCAGTTTTGTGAGTCTGCCGGGTACGTGCTTCACCACGCTGCCTACCACAACCTTCCCGCCTGGGGGGAGAGGCTCCTCAAACATGGCGCCAAGGTCAACTATCAAGGTCAGTAGTACAGCTAAAGATGGCAGTGAGAGATTGTGTTACTAGCACAGGCTAAGACTAGTAAGAGTAAGAAGGAGAGAAGCAGCTCTGTGAGTCTGCCGGGTACGTGCTTCACCACGCTGCCTACCACAACCTGCCCGCCTGGGGGGAGAGGCTGCTCAAACATGGCGCCAAGGTCAACTATCAAGGTCAGAAGACAACAAAAAAAACTTTATCTGTACATACTAAGTGAACTTTATTTACCCTCAGGTTCAAAGCAGTAGTTTAGGCTTCTTTTTGACATGTCTTTATGAATCTTCATGATCAGGCTCTTTTTTGGGAGAGGCTCCTCAAAAATGGTGCCAAGGTCAGAAGACAAGTCAACCATCTTTATCTGTATCATCATCATCATCGGTCGACCGTATTGGTCGGGGTTATACCGCCCCTTATCATTATGACATACCCTTTCGTTAATACAAGACGGGGTTCGCCAGGTCTCCGTCCGGGTGATGATGTAATCACCATGTGTGGCTGATACGGAACAGAGGTTTGCCAGGCCTCCATTCGGGTGATTTGAAGTGAATCACCAACTCCTTACAGTAGTGTTTGTACCATCGCACACCGGGGCATGCCCCTACTCTTTTTCGAAAGGTGTGGTGGGTTCTTTAACGTGCCTGGGGTGTGGCTCTCCCCAAACATGGGACCTCCATTTTACATCCTATCCGAGGGACGTCCATTGCCAAAGCTAGTTACTCATTTCCACCTGAGTGAAGTGAGGAATGTCGTCTTAAGTGCCTTTCCCAAGGGCACAACATCGGTGACAAGGTGGGGTTCGAACCCACGACCTCTGGGGTGTGAGCCGACCGCGCTACCGATGGCACCACAAGACCCCACATTAGTCACACTTTATCTGTATAAGTTAACCGGACTGTTAAATTATTTTTACCCTCAGGCTCAAAGCAGAAGTTTAGGCTTCTGCGCTGTTTTCGACATGTTTTTAGGAATCTTAATCAGGCTCTTTTTTTGGGGGGGGGGAAAGGCTTCTCAAACATGGCACCAAGGTCAAATACATACGTATCTGTCTATGTCGATGAAGGTTAGACATCCAGTTAAGATATGCCAAAAAGCATGCGCAGTTACTCAAGCAACTGGGTATGATTTTCCATCATATCCAGTTGCTTGAGTAACTGCTTTTTGGCACGAATATCTGTCTGTCTGGCAGTGAGAGATTGCGTTACTAGCACAGGCTAAGAAACAGTTCTGTGAGTCTGCCGGGTACGTCCTGCAGCACGCTGCCTACCACAACCTTCCCGCCTGGGGCAGTTGTGGTCAGACAACAGTTAAGTGGCACGAATGCCTCAAATTTACAAATGCCTCAAATTTACCTTGAGGGCAAGTTAACTTAACAGTCAAAATGCCTTCCTGCAGCCTGGGACTAGTGGGAGGAAGTGACTATAATGAAGACACAACTTTTATAATACAAATGGACCATTCCTACACATGTATAACAGGGCTGGAAATACTGGGTGCATGTACACCTTGGTCCACCCAAATTTGGAGCAGTGCACCCAATGTTTTTCTGTGGGTGCACCAGAGTAGCCAAATATTTTCGTAGATTTATTCCTATAAATAAATTTTCGATCCCTGTATAACAATACCTTTTCCTAAGCCACAAATTAAGCTGTTCTGATGCATAACATACAGTTTACACAGCATGTACATGTGGTAACCATAGGTTTAAGCATGTATGTTGCACCAAACAGCCTCATCTGCCAGGTTAGTAATTCAGACATGTAACATCAGCATGGTAACTGATCCTGAAGCATTAGCCTGAGTAGTTTTGTTAGCAACACCAAAATGCAACTTGACTGTTTGTCGGTTACAAGGGACAATATTCAATCAGCTTACTACTATACTAGTACTAGTAAGTCGGTGTAATCTAATTGTCTTTGGTTCTCAGGCATTTTTAACCTTCTTCCTGCTGTCCCACCCCATAACCAATTATTTACATACGTATGTACATTGTGTACTCTAGAGTATACAAATTTGGCACAAAATGGCTACGATAGTACAATGTACCTTAGCAGGCTGAAGGTTAAGGAATGATATTGAAAGAGGGCAACATGAAACAAAAGGTTGGGAAGAAAACTTGTACAAATGTATCTGATTATACACGCTTTAAAATTAAGTGTGTCCTAACTTTTACCCCACCCTGCTAATATTTAAGCCCCTTTTCTACTAGACAATCAGAGCAAGAATAAGAGAAACTTGATTTGTGTGAACCTTGCTTTTATAATTGGAACACCATGCATGATGTAAAAGTATGATTTAAAAGGCAACAAGACATACAAAATGTAGAAGACTAGTCTTGTTCTTTATCTGTGAAATTCATCTAGCGACATGTCAAATGTGTGGGTGTTCAGAAGTCGCTTAGTCAGTCAGTGGAAAGGGGGTGTAATGATTAGTGAAAAAGCAAATCTTCCACACGTCTGGACACAAAGAACAGAGTTATACACACTGTATGTACACATTCAAAGCACTGTGGAGCTCTCTGTCACAAATACAATAAACAATGGACCACTGTGGACTGTATTTGCATTTTAAGAAAACTTAGTAAATATACATGTATAATCCTGTGGTTGAATGGATCTGTCAGCTTATGAAGGCCCCAAACTGACAAAATATTATGTGGTTCAGCTTCAAGTATAAATCACTATTTCAATGGCCACCTCCTAGTATAATAGAGAGTCTTATAGTTGTTATACAATGACATGAAGATAATTTGACTGTGGATATGTTTGTTCACATTACAATAGTCCTGTTCAGACCTCCCAGCACAGAGCTGTACAGAGAACAGGGCACACACGCATGTCAAGCAAACAAACAGACAAACACCAATTTTAAAAAATCTCTATACAATGTACATAAAGGTAATGACTAAGATCTGAATTCTGATGTATTTTTGTAGAACCAGAAAAGTAAGACACCCCCCTGCACAGAGCTGTAGAGAAGATAATAATCATAACACAAGCAAACAAACAGACAAACACTATTATAACAAAACCTCTCAAGATCTGATGTTATTTTTTCCAGAACCAGAGAAAGAGGACACCCCCCTTCACAGAGCTGTGGAGAATGGAAATCTGGAGATGGTGGACCTGCTTATCAAGTATGGAGCTGACATCAACATGCTGAACAAAGTACGTAGGGATGTTCTGTATTTCTATATGTATGCACCCGTCAAGGGAAATAGATAATGTTTTCTGATGTAATGTTTTCTGTTTTCTACTATGTTTTGATGTTTCTATGTCCTCAAGAATACAGTGTTTCAAATGTTGCAACTATAATTATTATGAATAGAAAGGTTCACACAAAAAAGAATTTTGGGTTCAAGACAGCTTGTCATCATGAATTGTGTGATTGTGTAGCATGTGTAATCCACTGGTTAGAGTTCAAATCCCAGCTGTGTCACTCACCCAACATGCAATGGGGATTTTTAAATTTTCCACTTTTTTCTCTTGACAGGAAGATACAGCTCCAATCCAATGTAGCAGTGTCCAGACACGGCCTGTCTGGCTGATTATCACCTGGAGTCCTACATCCTGTATGCACTTAACATACATCATGACATACATGTACACTCTTGTCGGGACCAATGGAGGATAAGATTTCCTGTAGAGAATTACATTACTGTTTACTTGACTGTATTCCTTTTTTACTAACTTTTTTTACTATACATTGTATTTACAGGAAGGTACAGCTCCCATCCATGTAGCAGTGTCCAGACACGGCCTGCACGGCTGTCTGCAGAGCCTGATATCTGCCGGCGCTGACCTACAGCTGATCGAGACCAGCTCAGAACTCAGCCCACTGGGGAAGGCTCTGGATGAGTGGGTGGGTAAAGTGTCTTGACTTCTAAACTGTTAGCATACATACTTACTAGACAACAGCTTGTTTAGGACCACACAAATTCCATTATAGGCTTGTACCTAAACCCATTTGCGTGTACCTTTACTTGAAGTTTGTCAGGGTACAAAAAAAGACAGCTACATGTTTACTCCAAAATGATTGGCCAAACCTGTTTAGATACAGGTACAGCTTAGGGCCTGTACCGAGGGCCTGTGTATATGTACCTGTACCTAAATTTGTTCACTAGTAGTAGGTGCACACTTCTGACCTGTCTATGAACCTGTCTCCACCAGGTGGTCAGCCCCATTCCACCTGTCTAACAATAAAAAGACAGTTGGCTACATGTAAGTAGACTGGATACCATCCTGGTTCGACAGCGGACGTAAACTAACCAGGATGGTACCCAGCCTAACATGTACATTTAGGTCTAACCTCCCCCGGTTTGTTCAGCCCCACAATTTTTAGAGAATACAAATGTTATTTAAATGTTATACATGTATATCAACATGGTTACCCCAGGTAGTGCAGCCCCACCCCACCAACAACCTGCAGCAGATCCGGCAGCTGCTGCAGGCCGGCTGTGACATCACCAAGATCGAGAAGGAACCCGGAGATGCCACTGCCTTCTCCTTCATCCTTACTGAGATGTCTCGAGGTTGGGATATTTGATTATTTAATTAACTTCATTAGGTTTCCTACAATAGAATACATATATTCGTTATCACCTGGGTTTCCAGCATGACGGGCAAACAACATCAATGCCAACATTCAGATTTTCGAAAGCAGGTCCAGTATCAAGTATTTAGTACATATACAATTTACAGAAAAGCGTACACTACATATATATGTATACAATGAGCTTTAGCTTGAAATTTGTTTGAATGCAGATTGTATGGTAATTTAGTACATGATGCCATTTTTGCTTAGCACTCAGCATTTGGGAAAGGATATGGGAGTCAAAGATGCACCACTACCAGTAGACTGCTGTCATTACACAATTGTGTGGCCCAAGGGCTACAGAAACAGAGATGCCCCATAGGTGTGGGAAGGAACTTAAACTAAGTTTTTCAACTGTATCCCACAGGTCAACTCGAGGTCGATACTGCATACAAGCTCGTAGAACTGCTCCTAGAACACGGGATGGATCCAGACGCCACCGACACTGAGTTCTTCACCCTCCTGTACTACTCCACACTCTAATACACAAATGCTAAGTTAAAATGTTTAAACTTAACTATTTTACCATGTCCCACAGGTCAACTCGAAGTTGATGCAGCATACAAACTGGTTGAGCTTCTGCTTGAACATGGGATGGACCCAGACGCGACCGATACAGAGTTCTTCACCCTCCTATACTACTCCACGCTCGGTCTGGACGACTACTTCCCGCTGGTGCGCCTGCTGCTGAACTACGGCGCAGATCCGCTCATCAACACGTCGCTGAGGGCAGCCAAGTACGAGTGGATCGTCGTGGCACTGCTGGACTGTACATCAGACCAGGTAATTGACTACTAGTAGTGTGTAGAACAACCTTTTTCAGGTAGATGTGCAAAGGTGGGGTGTAGCAGATGTGATATAGCCAGCTTGTCTGTATCTGTGTCTGTATACATTGTAGCTATAGCCAGTATAACCGCACAGCACACACCGGCTTCACAGGCACGGCACAGCAGCAGCGAGCTACATTACACCAAGCAACTTGTCACACCTAGACTTTGCACATCTGTAGCTTGAAGGTATCTAGAGATGGTGTCCCTACAGTACTTGGTGGTAGACAGTGAAGAAATTTACGCTTTACGATTTCTAGTTACCTCCATGAAAAATGGAGGTATTGTTTTTGGCGGCGTCTGTCTGTGTGTCTGTGTGTCTGTGTGTCTGTGTGTGTTTCCGCAACTTTGTAGTCAGCATAACTTCATAACGCCGTTATGGATTGTGATGATATTTGGTATGATGATAAGTCTTAGGAAGACAAAGGTCAAGGTCAAATATGGGCCTCCTGGTGGATGACCTTGGTACTGCAGCAGAACTTCCGGTTTTTCTATCTTTGGTCCTGAACATGCTATGGTCTTGAATTTTTGGTGACAGATAGCTTTTCCTGTCAGGAATAAGTGGTGTGGGTTTGGTCCCCCTAGCAGCTTGTTCAGGAACTGCAGGGAACTTTCGGGCGAAATCTTTGAAAGCCAATAAGTCCAGATAGGAACAGCGTATTTTCATCATTTTTGGTGTGTAGGTATCTGACAGAGAGATGTACATAATTAACTGCAAATTATGCAAATGAGGACTTTATTTGCATAATTAATGAGGAAATTCTATAATTACAGTGTTTTACATTATAGAACCTTCATACATGTAATGTATGTAATCTATGGCAGATGAAACATCAACAGATACTAATTATGCAAATGATGACCTAATTTGCATAATTAATGCAAAAAATATATGATTTCTCAATGGTGAATGATGGGAATGTCATACTTGGGACATCTTTAAGTTAATCAAAAGTTAACATCACGACGCATATATTATGTTAATGCAGAGGTCATTTGCGTAATTAAAGAAGAAATTTACATTTACATATCAAGCTCATATTTCATGGAGGTATGAGATCTCGGAACTCTTGTTCTAGATTTGAACAGCTCAACCTTTTTTTGATAACTCTTTACTTGAAGGCATGACTGTTTCTTGTTCTTTTCTGAGCTGGTATCAGATACTTAGTGGTTGGTACGTCCACCAGTTCATTAGACATTTTGTGCATCATGCAGGTAACAGACAATGCAGACATGAGGGACTTTGGTCCGGCCAGAAGGATGCTGCAACTGCTCATCGATGGAGTCGACAGGTTCAAGTGGTGAGAAATAAGGAATGACTACAAAAAATAACATATTTAACATTATAACATGAGAAGAAATAAGGTCCCATTCCACTCCTTGCAGATTATAGGGATGGTGCCCATCTCCATTTCTGTAGCCCTTGGGCCACACAGTTGTGCAAGGCACTACAGCAGGGGGCTAGTCCACTGGTAGTGGTGTGTGTTTGACCTTCCCACACATCTTTCTCATATGTGCTGAGTGCTAAGCAGAGAAAGCAGTGTGTACCATTTTTGTAGTCTTTGGTATGACCCAGCCGGGGTTTGGACTCACGAACCGCTTGTGAGCACTTAACCCGATTGAGCTTTTGCACTGGTCAACATTATAACGTAGCATAGTATAAAAGTATAAGTATAAAAGAAGTATCTTAGAACTACCTTTACCCTTACCTTTTTTGTGTGTTTTTTTCCACCAGGTGTGAGGAGATGGAGAAGAAGCTGGAAGGGATGAAGGAGGAATTTTTCAGCGAGAACACAGAAGACGATTCGGAGATGGCGGAGAGCAAAGACGCTCTGGTCAAGCTCTGCGATTGGCTAAGGATGGCGGGACAGAATCCTCGAGAGCTGAAACATCTCGCAAGATGCCAGGTCAGGAAGACACTGGGAAGGAGCGGCATCTTTAAGGGAGTTCGGGGCCTTAACCTGCAGGAAGACATCAGCAGCTACCTACTTATAAAGTCTTGAGGAAGTTTAGAAGCTTCTCAAGTTGTTTATTTTACAACCTGGAAATGTCTTACGGACATTTAATGGGTGACTAAATCTGTATGTGGGAGAAATGAGATAATGTCAGGTAAGGATGACAAGTGTTTAAGTGAAATGTTAAAAATTTTTTTATTTTCAAAGCTGGGAATGTGTTATGGTCCAAGAGTGCCCTCATTTGCTTCCACTGCAGGATGGTTGTACATGGAACTTGTATGTGTGGGAGAAATGGTGAGATGGAATGACTTGTACTGTAGCCTGGTTACCAAACCTATTATACATGTAGCTCCCGAGTCCTACAGCCTCTCCACAAATAGTAGGACTCGGGAGCTATAATAGGTTTGGCAACCAGGCTAAATTTTTATTTCAAATGCTAAGAAAGTGTTATGGTCCAAGCGTATTCACATTTGATTCCACTACAGGATGCCTGTAACTTGTATGTGTGGCAGAAATGAGGTTTGGTGAGTTAAAATGACTTGTATTGAGTTCTACTAAGCTGAGAAAGTGTTCTGGTCCAAGCATTTCCACATTTGATGGGTGACCCTAACCCATATATGTGGTACAAATGATACCTGGTCAGTAAAAGATGACTTTTATTGAGGTGAAACTATTTAAAATGTTCATTTTCAAAGCTGGGAATTTGTTAATATGGTCCAAGAGTTTCAATGTGATGCCACTTTAGTATAGGGTGACTAAAATCTGTATATGTGACAGAAATGAGGTCAAGGTTAAAATAACCTGTTCTGATGTCAAATGTTTTCGAATTTTATTTTACAAGATGGAACTGTGTTATAGTCCAAGAGTATCCAGGTGGTGTGATATTTAACACTACAGGGTGACTATGGCCAGTATGTGTAGTAGAAATGAGGCCTGGTGACATGACAAGTATCATTCTAACGTAAAAAGTATCAAAGGAAGACAGGCAAAGGCTAAAAAGAGATAGACGATTGGGAATTTTTATTGCTGTCATGGACACCTTTGTACTGATTGTCAGATTGTCAAAGTTTTTTATGTTGTTACGGAGCAATATTATAGTTAGCCTAATCATTGTAAGGGTCACATAAATACACAGGAATTTTCTATATAACCAAATATTTGCACACAGCAAATAAGTGTGATATACATGTAGATTTAACTCAATTTGATAAGATTTATCTCAATACAATACAATAATACCGGGTGCTTATTGTTACATAATTGACCAAATAACAGCTCACCACAGAAAAGTAATACTGGGTATTTTGTTGATACAGTACTTCATTGACCAAATAGCAGATCGCCACAGAGAAATAATCAAGGTATTTTGTTAATACTTCATTGACCAAATAGCAGATCGCCACAGAGAAATGATACTGGGTATTTTGTTAATACTTCATTGACCAAATAGCATCAGACCACAGAGAAATAATACTGGGTATTTTGTTAATACTTCATTGACCAAATAGCAGCACACAACAAAGAGGTAAACATGTAATCTTATCTCGAAAGTTCATCTGTGTTGGTAGAAGTCATTATGAACAAGATTGAACTGTAATTGCCAACACAAAAAATTGTACTCACCCAAATGATCCACTGCTCACGGAGTCATGTGTGTTATCTGCATGATGTCACGGAAGTGGTGGATTGTTCATTCCTTGACAAAGACTGGAGTTGTACAGTCCAGTCCAGTTTCTTGTGTTGGCAATTACAGTTCAATGTTGTTCAGAAGGTAAACATGTAGCTAGCTTTTGGGTGAAAATTTTGCCAGACTGAGTGTTTCGTTAGGAAACCAAAGATGAGGCCATATCACTTAGTCATACTAACACTTGGACAGTTAACTGTTTGCAAGAGGATTAAATAGTGGTACAGTATAGACATGTCTTGATTTGTGCCTTCTGAGAAGGAAAGAATTTGATGTTGAATCTTGTGATAGAGCACTTGGGCTCAATAGGTGTTCAAGTCGTCAACCAAATGGACTGAAATGGCTAGTATAGTGAAAATTTCAAATTATAGGCTGAACATATTTTCAACGACTTATGAATATTCTTCAAATGATGGTGAATTAACAGCACAAATTTGATGCAAGATATGTGATATTATAGTGTATTAACTTTTAGTCCATTGTGACATTTGAATTATCGGATCTGTTTATACATACTTGTATTTGATTTTAGTTTAATCGGAATTGTAAAGAATTTTGAGTGCTGTACAGTGTACATGTAGGTAGGTTTTAAGCTGAGTGCAGTGAATTGTTGAGTTTTCATAGCAGCTACACATAATGTGTAATGCAGAGACCAAAACTTGTAGACCCTATAGCTAATATTATAGGGTTACAAATTTCAGTATACTAGTACTACCAGGAAAATAGATATTGAAAATCAGATATACATACACTACCTGAATTTTATTTCCGTATATGAGACATTTATTCTCCATTCCACTTTATAATATGTCACAAAATACAAGAAATAGCAGAAAATACATTCTTTACCTTGTCATAGTAGAACGTGTCTATCAGATATGCCAGTGTTATGAAGGAAAAGTTGAGTTTTTGTCAATTCATTTTCCAGGGGTCAAGCCAAAGACTAAATGACCAAAAGCACGCATCTTTGAGCTATCTGTATTATTGTAGTAATATGTATATGTGGTTGGAATGAAAAAAAAATACTCAACCAGATTATTTGAAGAGCCAGTTCTACAGTGAACATTCCTTCTTTGTAATTATCAGTGTTGAAACAAAAAGACTTGCTTCATTGTTGAAAGGTTTTTGCCAGTGTTGTTTGAAAATGTTTTGCACGTAAGTTAACAGATTTCTTCACTTGTACATGTAACACTCAGTGTTGCAGATGGCCTAGCAATAAAGATTATACTTATTTAGACTAAAAAGATGATGGTGATCTCATGCTCATTGTATGGTAACTGTACTTTGCGAAAAATAGGTTAATTTTGGAAAAAAATATATGGGGGTACATGTACGCTGTGTGTGCGTGCGTGTGTGTGTGTGTGTGTGAAAGTGTGTATGTGTGTGTGTGTGTTTGCATTTGTGTGTGAAAGTGTGTATGTGTGTGTGTGTGTGTGTGCATTTGTGTGAATTAATTGTGTGTGTGAATTAATGTGTGTCTGTGTGTGTATATGCGTGTGTTTCTTCAATTCTCAACATGCACATCATGCCATACACGAAAATGTTCACTTCTGCTATTTTGTGTGCGAGCAAAAAAGCGAAAGTTCAAGTTACACTAAATAAATGTTTGGACGAAGTCTCACAACCTATCGGTCGTTCATGACGACATACAATAAATTTCTGCACTGACAGAAAAGCAAACAGGTAGTTCAACCAGCAGGTCGTTCACCCGGCCAAGCAAACACGATTTGCATAAAGACCTGTTTACCAGGTCCATATAAGGTGCGCAGGTGGCGGTCTTAAGTAGGTCAGAGGTCGAGAGGGACGACGCCAGCATTCAGAGTTGCGAGGTGAAAACTGTTGTTGTCGTCCGTATTTTGCGCACAAAGTGACCACCATGTTGGAACTCCTGCCTTTCTCCACTACCTGGGTGCTGGTGGGACTGTGTGTGGTCCTGTTATACCTGTGAGTACCTTCGTAACGCCTTTGATATTCAGTCATGGTGACTTGACTTCGCTGCAGCTTAAATACGTTATGTTATGTAAGTAGAGTTAAGCCACCAAACAAAGCGGTCGACCCCAGCCTTATATCGTGTGTGTATGGATGTTGCCTTCTTCAATGTATTGACCATGGTACCCTACGTAACAGTACTGATTCATATCAGCCCTACAGCTTCCAGAACAGTCTCATTATAAGAATGGCAGCTCAAATACGTTATGTTATTATGTTATGTAAATGGTGGTAAGGCACTGAACACAAAACGTTCTACTCCAACCTTATATGGCATCCTTCAGTCAATATTGACCATGATAAAGTCCTGAATAACTTATTACAGCAGAGCTTCAGCAACTAGAATCTCATATGAAATCTTACATAAGTCTAACAATACATGGAACAGCAATGTTACTACTAGACTTTAATGCTCATGAACTGTATAAGCGAGGGCAAAATGGTTGTTTCGAGATCCTTATTTACCAGCAGTGCTCTGGTGCAACCCATTGAAGGTAGCCTAGGACCGAAGCATTGTGTCCTAGTACCGAGGCATTGTATAATAATACAATGGCTCGGTCCTAGGCTACCTCCAATGGGTTGCACTATCATGATAGTCCTTCGTCATCGAAGAAGACTCTAAGTGTCCTCGTTCACGGGGGTGTGACCTCATATGGCTTCTCCAAAGTCCAAAGCTTGAGGCACAAAGCCGTCCGTACTTCAGGCATTGGTGATCTGTTTGTCAGAACTGCTGATGTCGCTGCTTTGTGTCGTCTGACTCTTGCAGCATTAAGACGCTGCCTCCTATCCTCTTCAAAGGCTGCAGTGACTCGAGATGAGTGCCCTATAGATGGGTTGCACTATGGCACTAGGTAAATCAGGATCTCGCAACGACCATTTTGCCCCCGCTTTAATATTTACATGGCCTCACTGGCAAATACCACTCCCATGCTACCCAAGTCAAATATACCGAAGGAAAGGAGTTTGACATCCCAAATGTTGTCCAAGTCGCAACTACGCAGGGCCCCTCCCCCCGAAGAAGAAGGAAGGTCTCCCGTGCTCTTATGCAGAGCGTAGGGTGGTGCCCATCTCCATCCGTAACCCTTGGGCGACCTACATTTGTGCAAGGCACTACAGCAGGGGGCTAGTCCGCTGGCAGTGCTGTGTGTTTGACCTTCCCACACTCTTTCTCGTATGTGCTGAGTGCTAAGCAAAGAAAGAAGTGTGTACCATTTTTAAAGTCCGAAGTTTGGTATGACCCAGCCGAGCTATTACACCTCCCCCCGCCTTACTCATATTTGGGATGGACTATTTACGTATGCTAACCTTACCCTCCGTAGGTATCTGGTGTGGCCCTTCTCGACATTCAAGAAGCTGGGCATTCCTGGCCCGAAACCGTACCCGCTGTTTGGAAACTACTTGGAGTACGGGAAGGTTGGTATCTTAAAACTCTTTTGACTCTGAACCTTACAGGTGGTCGTACAATTTTCATCAGACTGTGACGGAAACAACCACCGAAAAGGCTATAAGAAAGTAGCCTCCATAGCTTGCCAAAAACTAGGGGTTTTGGGGGTCTTCAGGGTCTTTGGGATCCGCTATTTTCTGATTGCGTATAGACAACATAGCCGGTCTGGTTGAATTACCCCCGTTTTTTAGAACTGGGCTAATCAGAAAACAGCCGAAGACCACCAAACCCCCAGTTCTATAAGCCTGCTACGGAGGCTAATCAGAAAACAGCCGAAGACCACCGGTACCAAATAAACCCCCAGTTCTATAAACCTGCTACGGAGGCTAATAAGAAAGCCTTATCCGCAACACGCTTAGACAGCCAGATTTCGCACACATGCCCGAGTGAAACGACTATTCCAAGAATGCATTTAGCTACATGATTGTTGAAGAGCTCTTTACCTATTGGTGAGTGTAATCTTTTCCTCATTGTCTGAATTACCCAGGGAGCCCACCTGTTTGACAAGGAATGCTACGAGAAGTACAACAAAGTCTTTGGGTAAGTAAGTGTATAATACAGACAGATAGATATATTAGATAGATGTAAATGTAGATATCTATATAGATATACATCATAAATATATACTCTTTATGCATAAATATTTGGCTCATTAGAGGTGGTGGGGCATTTGCATATCAATGAGGCTCCAGGGTTGTGCGACCCCTCCGACGGACATAGATGTATTTTTTTTAATTCCAACATGTAATCACAAGACGTGTTGACGGCACACTCAAGTTTTTTCCAACTTATATTAATGCCGCTACCAACACAGGGGACAATACAATACTCATTTTCACCTGAGCGAAGTGAGGAAAGTCGTGTAAAGTGCCTTTCCCAAGGACACAAGATCGGTGGCATGTCAGGACTCGAACCCGGGACCTCTTTGTTCCGAGTCAAGCCCTCTGCTGATCCCACTGATACATGTACTACCACTGCTATAGGAGTCTGAAGATATTGTCATTACAGGTATTTCGAAGGGAGAACACCAAATCTGATGGTGGGTGACTTGGAACTCGTCAAGGATATCACAGTGAAGGAGATCAACAAGTTTACCAACCGACGGGTGAGTTACTAACGTGCAGGTAAATACTACTCAGGGCTGGTCCAGCTTATACCAAAGCAGATCCTAGTAAGCAGATCCAACGGTGGTAAGGCAGTAAACATAATTGGCCAAGCACTACGTGACCGAAAAAAATAGCCATCATGTGGATCTGGTTGGAGGTCATAATTACGGCGGAAAGGACGCGGCAACATACGTCGTAGATAGTACTAGTTGCACCTGTGCTGCAAGGCGATGTGAACCAGTCAGAATTGCCCTGAGGATGGTGACAGACGGTCACTGAAACGTCGGTTGAATAGAAGACTTGGTTGTGTACAAAGAGTCTTTTCACTCAGTGTCTTACCAACCTGAAGGAACTATTCACCAGATTGATTTTGATTAATATAGCTATAGAATTTTTAGGCAGGATGTGACAGAAACGCTACCAATCTCTGACAAGTACTAGTATCATGCTACAGGTAAAATATCATATTGTCCAACGTGTAGGTGTTTGACGGCCAAGGCGAGATTTTCAGCCATGCCATGACCAGCCTGTTGGATGGAGATTGGAAACGCGTCCGGAGTGCCGTTACACCCACATTCAGCTCCGGAAAACTCAAGCAGGTATATGCTCACTCACACTCACTCACTATCCGGTTTCAATTTTAGATGTTAACTAAAAAGGGAACATTTGCAGAGCAAATGCATAATGTTTACCTTCGCACATGGTCTGCTCTGTTAATTCTTACTCAAACAAATTCATATAAATTATGTGCATGGTGACAGGAGTCTAAATACCTCCTGCGTTAAAATTGCAACATGTTAACGAACACGTACGCTTCTAGATACCGTGCAAAACTTGAACAAGGTTCTGGATGCAACAAACAGTCATAGAATGGAAAACTCAAATCAAAATCAAATCAGAATATTTGATACCGATGACTTTTTCTGTAACATCACAGATGGCGGTGCACATCGAGAGAGCTGCGGACGGCCTCGTGGCCAACCTTGCGGAGAAAAAGAAAGATGGAGTCGCTTTTGACATGAAAGAGTGAGTATCTTATCATGGAAGTTCATCCGCGTTGGTTGAAGTCATTAAAAAAACAAGTTTAAACTGTACTTTCCAACACAAGAAATCGGACTTGCCCACATTTTCGACTGTACAACTCTATCTAGTTTTTGTCCAGGACTTTGGAGACTTGTCAGAAAAGCAGCTTTATAAGTACGAACTAGCTTTTCTGACAACTTTCAAGTGTCACTGACGAAAGGTAGTGGATGCTACCTGAAACGTCTGACCGTTTCCAAAATCATATCTAGTTGCTTGAGTAGCTGCTTTTTGGCGAATGGAAGAATGATTGGAATCCCACTTCTGACACCATTTTGTGTTTCCGGTGCCACGTGCACCCATCCACAGAGTACTGACGAAAAATGCATTCAGGGAAAATTTAAAGCTCCCCCGGAAGTCTCTAATTTCCTGTGACTGGTGTTTATCTCTTGGATTTGCTATCTAGAAAGTTCTTACCATAAGACTTTCCCATTTACCAGTCTTTCTGGCGGCTTCACTATGGACGTGATCTCCAGTACTGGGTTCGGAGTGGAGGTGGACTCTCTACGCAACCCAAACCATCCTCTCGTCACCAGTGCCAAAAAGTTCTTCAGCTTCAACTTCTACGACCCTATGATCATAATCATTTGTGAGTAGCAGATTTTCACATTAGTCGTGTCTTATGCTGTCTGCGGTTAGTGCAGAAAATAATAAATTCGTTATGAATGATACAGATAATATAACACAAAATGCCCCTGCAGTTCCATAATGGACCGCTAGGGAGCATGCTTACAACACTTCTTTTGGACATGTTGACATCAAACGGTACCTGCCAAGGAAATGAAATGTATATATTCCGTACTCAAATTTAATGTTATGTGTATGTTATAATTTTTTATGTTATATGTATGTTGCATGTATGATAAGTGAACTCATTTATATTTATATATGTACTAATGGAGATCTTTTAAACAATAAACAATTAACCTTATTTAAAGATAAAACTTTTGATCCAACCAAGGAGGTTAAATTCCAAAACTAAAAGTTCTCTCACCTAGAGCTTTCGACCAGTCACTCTGGTCTTTCTCAGTAGACTGACCCAGTGATGCTTCATGGCACGTGGCTTCTCTGAAGTGTGACGTCAACACTGGGTCTAGGTGAGAGAACTTTTTGTGTTGGACCAAAAGTTTTGACTTTAAACATGTAACACAGATGAACTTTCATGATAACAATTAACCTTCTTTCCCTCTAGTTTTGTTCCCCTCTCTCGGCTGGCTCCTCGAGCGCCTAGGATATTCCCTGGTTAACGCACAGGCCACCAGATATTTCAGCGAAGCGGTCGACACGGCGATTAGCATGCGGGAGAACGATTCGAATGGCGCGGTAAGATCTCGTCGTAGAAAAAGATGTCCAGACTGTGCATGATGTACAAAAGGACTAATTAATTGGCGGACGTACCAACCACAAAGTATCTGATGCCAGCCCAGAAAAGAACAAGATATAGCCATGCCTTCAAATATCAACCAAGAATTGACGTGTTCAAAAACTCGTATCTTCCAAGAACTATCGTAGAGTGGAACTCGTTGCCCATTGCCAATTCGAATCCCACTTCTGACACCATGTTGTGTTTCCTGGCTCACTCACCTACATGGGTTTCAGCTTAATCGGTTATTGTTAGTGGTTTTTGTTCTATGTTCAATCCGGGAACCAAAGAGGTAGTCTAAGACAAGACAACTTGTTTCCACTGTAGACAAACCGATGTTGTCTACATCCATTTAAACCATAATCATTTTCAACCCTTTTTTTATACGTTTGGCGACTATAAACATTTATAAATTGTTAGAAAAGTTGTTAGAAAAGAAATATGCCTACTTGCCGAAAATAGAATTGTTCAAACATATTACGACATCCAAGCGCTACGATGTAAATGAAAAACTATGTAAATTTGTTCATACATGTTTCAAAAAGAGAGATCTTGTAGTTAGATCATGTAGATAGAGATGTACCACACAAATGTAACAATTGCTTCGTCTATTCTTGTAACCAAGTTATTTAACTTAGTGCGTTTGGCCCGTGTAGGGCGTGAATATGCAATAAAGTTCATTGTCATTGTTATAGAGACCAGTGGACCTCCTTCAGCTGATGCTTCAAGCTCACAACCAGGAACTGGACGGAAAAGTCCCCGAAGGCACCACCAAGAACGGCATCTCTTCGAAGGAGATCAAAGCAAATGCCATCCTCCTATGGGTGGCCGGATACGAGACTACAGCCAACACCCTGACCCTCACAGCCTACAATCTGGCTCTGAACCAGGAAGCGCAGGACAGAGTTATCGAGGAGGTGGATGCTGTCATTGAGAAGAGGGTGAGTTAAATCACGTTTACTTAGCAATCTCTAGGGCAACGGCAGGGGGGGGGGGTAGGTCTTTTTGTAGCTTTATCAAGATTTACCACATTTGTGGTAGGATTGACAAAATGGGTGGCTGTCACCTTTCCACGATGACAAGTCTGGAACAAGAATGGTTTGAAGCACTCATAGTTACTGTTGTTGACTTAAAAACTTCTTCTAATCCACAACAGGCCCAATGTTTTACCCCTGGGGAAGGCCCCGTGTAACTATTTCCTACTCGACTCGTGAAAATTTGTAGTAGCTTAAACGTTTGACACAATCATGTAGGTTGTTGACTCTGACTGTTGAACCTAAAGGTTCTAGATTCGAATCCCTGGCAAGCCCCGAGGTTGTGCCCTTGCAATAAGCATTTATGTATACAGATAACTGAATAAAAGTCTTCCATAATTAGGGGGCGCTGGACTACGAAGCTGTCAATGAGCTGCCGTACATGGAGATGTGTATCCAGGAGACCCTGAGGATGTTCCCTGCTGCTATGAGGTAGGGCAAGGCTTAGCTTGTTGTAACCAGAACCGTGTATTAACCAGACCCTATGCTCAGGCATGGATATAGATGGTACACGCAAATCCAGAACCGTGCCCGGGACAAATGTACGTTCATTGATACGCAGAGACTATCCAGAAAAGTCTTTACTCCTTATCTTATCCTAACTCGTTCAGGCATAGAATTACTAGACAAACGCATTTCTGGATATGATATGGTTTCTGTTTATGGTTTCTTAGAATCCTACTGAATTATCTTTTATGTTTGAAAGTTATGTGCAGAGTACAACATGACTAACCAGGTACTATTTGATAATTCGCTGTTTCAACTCAAACTTGTTACAAGATTAAGAGAAACAGGCAATGTTTTGGCGCCGCTGAAACGTTGCCACAGAATACAAGTGTTAACGCAGCAAACTATGAGCGGTTTTGTCTCGCTTTCCATAGCTTCATTTGTACGTGTTCTTACCGTAAATCTATTTCGTTGGCAGGTTTGACCGCGTCTGTAAGGAGGATACGGAGGTGAAGGGTCTGCACATACCAGCAGGAATGATCGTGAACGTTCCCGTGTACCCCATCCACTACGATCCCGACATCTGGCCGGAACCCGAGAAGTTCAAGCCTGAGAGGTTTGGAATTTCTCTTAACTTACAATGGGTGACCTATGTCTAATGCTAGTTTTCCTTAGCCGGGGTGCCATCCTCTGCACATGTTTTGTAGTTTCCTCCCACTCCCTAAGGTAGCCAAGAACATTAGGGAGCGGGCAGAAACTACGGAGGATGGTACCCAGGCTAATTATAAGTTTTCCTCTGTCATTCGAACCACATTGTCATGGGCAAACCAGAAGCCTCTGCCCTGCGTTCCGATTTCCGATGCCACCAGCTTGTAGACCAGTGTCTTTTTCCATCACGTTAAAATAAGCGAGTGGCTTTCTTTCAGGCCTCCCTTTGCCGTCTGATGCCTAGACCTCGGCACCGATTTGGACAATGCTTCGTTGTCATTTCTGAAACTTAGGTACACCTTTACACGGCTTTCCTCACTCCTCCCAGGTGTAAAATGGGTGCCTAACTTCGATTGTGTAGGCAAAAGCAGTGGCAGGGAAGAGATGTTCTCCGCCTTCCTATACCGTGCCCTAGACACAGTGGACTGCCCCTATGGCCTCAAAGGGGATCTTTACCTTACATATCCTTAGGTACGCAGTGGTAGTCTGGACTCTGGATCATGGAGTCAAGTAGGTGAGTAACTAAGTCTTTGTTCCAGGTTCAGTAAGGAAGAGAAGGAGGCCCGTGACCCGTACGCCTACCTGCCGTTCGGCTCCGGACCCAGGAACTGTGTGGGCATGCGTCTGGCCCAATTGGAACTCAGGTTCGCTCTGGCCAAAATCCTGCAGAAGTTCCGCTTCGTCACCTGCGACAAGACTGTGGTAAGTACAGATGTACAGATACTAATTAGCCTCCACCAGGCCTTCCTAAGGGGTTATGAAATTCAATATAGTTAGCATGGATGCCAGACTGTTCTCATGGCCATAGGCTGTAGGGACTTCCTTTTACACAACCACTTATGTCCCTTACATTGCTTACGTTTCGGTGTCTATCAGACCCCTTCCTAGAGCTTCCTTCCTTAGACTGGAGTTCTGCTTCTCGCCGCTATGTGTAGCCGATGTAGGTGGCGCTTTTGCGATGAGAAGCAGAACTCCAGTTGGGAGCTCTGAGGAAGGTGTCTGATAGACACCGACACTTAAGCAAGGGCAGAGACAAGAAAATCCTATGTTTGACTGACCTGATGAAAGTTTTTTTCGGATGTTCTCATGACCGTGAGAAGCCCAGGCTCTAACTGAGGAGTGTCTATGCTACAGTTTACCGTTGTTGGCCCTGAAGTCTAGCCTCTACCAGGCTACCAGGAGAAAACAGTTTGTCGCTCTCTATTTGGCCTATTTCTACTTTTTCCAGCCGCCTCCCGAAGCCTGGTAGAGGCTACCTGAAACCGAAGAGAAGCCTTTACACTGGCCTTGACAACAGTTTGGCACCCAGGCTAGTATACAGTAGCACAAATTGGGTCAATAATTGCCCAGGATAACATATTGCCCCTCACTTGCGTTGGCAAATATACAACAGGGCACACCTTGCCTTGACCTTTGTCAAGCTCACTGGTAGGTTGGTGGATTACTTAATAATAAGCCTGGGGGTGTACTTGAAATTTTATTGGGGGCACGTTGGCCCTAGAGCCAAGAAGCTGGCTTGTGTAGGCCCTGGAGCCGAGGAGCTGGCCTGTGTAGGCCCTGGAGCTGAGGAGCTGGCCTGTGTAGGCTCCAGAGCCAGAGAGCTGGTCTGTTTAGGCCCTGGAGCCGAGGAGCTGGCCTGACCTTATCAAGCCCTGGAAAGAGGGGGTTTAGACACATTTTTGAAAATAAAACATGAGCATGTAAACATGTTGATTTTTGTCCACTACAGATCCCTGTCCGCCTGCAGAACACCTTGGGCAACCAGATAGAGGGCGAGCTCATGCTGAAGGTGGAAGCTCGGAGTTGAGAAGTGAATCGTTCCGAGTTTAGCCTAAAGCCCCGGCCACATGCATCGTACGGTGTTTTTTTCACAACGAAATCGTACGCCATAGGTTTGAGAAGAAACGGATGGATCCTCAAAATTGCGTGAAATGGCTGGTTGGATGGAGGAATGATTTAAACCCCACTTCTGACACCAGTTTGATTTTTTAATTACTGCTCCCGTTTTTTTTATCAAACCCACGACAATTCGCACAATCGTTGCGTGGAATGATTGTTGTGGGTGTATCGTACGATGTATGTGACCGTGGCTTAAACAAACTGGGAACAACATACGTGTTTAGTGGTTTGACCTGTTGATTTCTGACAGTAGCGAGTGTTTGCTTTTGTGTTGAAGGTTGTTGAGTGTAGATTAGCGATAGGCGTTTTTGACTTATATAATGAATGGATGAATTTTATTGCTCAACAGTTTATAATGTGTAGGTACAATGCATGTTTTGAGGGTTGCTGAGTGTAGGTTAGTGAATGCGTTTTTGACTCATAATGCATGGATGGATTTATTGCTCGATAGCTGTAATGTATTGGTACAATGTATGGTAGCACTGATAGAACAATTGATACAATGATACTAACCCATTAAAACTATGGGAACATGAATATGGCCATAAATGGCATATTGGCATAATGTACGTTAAACGTTTCCATCTGTTACCATACATTTTCTCTTTTGTAAAGCCTTCAATATATATTGGTCTAAGTGCTATATTGATTTATATAATTAGATTTGAGATGTTTCTGTGTACTAGATTTACATGTGATCGTACTCTTCGTAATTTCGTCTTCATAATTTTCGTCCATCAATAGTTATGTTATTGATTCATAATTGGTTTGCGCACAACTGTAGGTATAGTTTTGTAAAATTATGAAGGAGCTCATTCCACACTTACCATGTTTTAGATCACGTTTCTTCCGTTTGTACTTTATATTGAGAGTCGTTAAACCTTTGTTGTTACCGCATACATATATTCTGTACTTAGGATGACGTTATCCACACATGTATTTAGCTTTGTTAGATCTTTAGTTGTAGAAGTCCATACAAAACTTCCTGTACTTTTTGTTGTGTCAATAAAGAATCTCTGCACAGTATCATAAAAATGTTTCAATCACTTTGTAACCTAATTACGTGAACTAAACAGTTACTAATTATTACACTAAGTAAACGATGTAGTCTAGCATGGACCCACGTCTAGATCTTTTGCCTGATATGAAAATCTATTGGCCACAAAAATAGCATCAATACCATAGCATGTCCGGTACAAAAGATACAAAAACCGGGAAACCTTCCGCAGTACTAATACCCCCATTCTACTTAGACGGCGCTACCCCCACGCTCCGACAATTTCAGGTCGCAAAGAGGGTGCAGTGAGAGCGCCGTCATAGATATGTGGGTCTTAAACCCTTGATTTCATGGCTTGAACATGATGCAGGATGTAAAAGAATGACTGTGAAAACAATAAAACAAACAAAACGTACAAAATTTCGTTCCCTCTTCCCGCAATTCATTCTGTGAGCCATGAATTCGTTAATCGCCCATAAACGTTGCTGACATTTGAGTTTTTGGTCGCGCAGAGAGCGCAGAGAGGTTGCCCTAGAAATTCCACTTGAGCACGTTTTTCGTGAAGTTCGGCGCTCTCTCCGCGCTCTGGCCAATTTCAGAGCGCCGCGAGAGCGCCATGAGAGCGCCGCTAAGTGGAATGGGGGCCTAATTATGAGGAAAGTCACCTTGTAAAAAGTAACCTTGTCGACAAAAATTTAAAGTCACCTTCACCTTCGTCTGGCCATAAACTATGCAAATACGGCAATCGATCAAGATAAAATCCAGACAGTGTCAAGGTATCTGGTTGCCAGTCAAAATATAGCCGCAGCTGAATAGGCAGCAAACTTGGCAACGCTACCAACTTTGCAAACGCAAGGATTGTTATTTATTCATACATCAAACATGCACCTAGTTACTGGACAATTAAGTGATTTTGTACACAGCAAAAGTGCCCGTACGTGCGTTCTGATGTTTGGTGACCGGTCTGCCAAAATGCCAGCTAGGTAGTTTTGCATTGCATCAGGTAAATTGGCTATCCGGTGTTCTATGAGGTATCACTGTTACAATCGTAGTAAGGAAAGAACTTATCCGTACATCACACATGCACCTAGTTACTGGACAATAAAGTGCTTTTGTACACAGCAAAAGTGCCCGTACGTGCGTTCTGATGACCGGTCTGCCATCTAGGTAGTTTTGCGTTACATCAGGTAAATTGGCTACCAGTTGCCCCATGGGGTATCACTGTTACAATCGTAGTAAGGAAAGAACTTGTCCGTACATCACACATGCACCTAGTTACTGGACAATTAAGTGCGTTTGTACACAGCCGAAGTGCCCGCACGTACGTTTGATGTTTGGTGACCGGTCTGCCGAAATGCCAGCTAGGTAGTTTTGCATATCATTGCTTAGATCGGCTGCCTGGTATCCAACTGTGTATCGCTGTTGCACTCTTGATAGAACTTTTGTTATTCAGTGATTTATAAACCAGAGGAAAGTATTCGTGTATGTACATAGTTACATTTAGCGAACAATTAATTGTACAGTAGAGAAGGTAACCGTATCATATAGGGACGACTGCACAGTCACACAAAAGACCCTAACAGCAACAGGGACACTTGTTCGAAAGATGCTTACCTTTACTTCTAAAAGCCGAACTAAGTAGTACCATTAGACATATGTTTGTTTGCTTTTTCCTAGTTACAGAGACCACCTTGTGTAAAACAAGTGAGACAATGTACTGTGTAGGGTTCAATTGATCAACACAATTAAGTTTTAATGGTTGCAAATAAAGCTAATTCCACAATAAAGTTCGGAAGCCCACATACCCCCATTATCTTCATTCTAAAGTGTTTGCTCTAAGTGTCCTACTTGACAGATCATCCAAACCCAGAATTTAGGCCAAATCACACCAGACTATGCCCTATCCCCACATATGGTACCAAACCACTTTTAGAAACAGTAATGTACACGATATATACGCCAAAGTCAACATTTTTATTTTTCCGTGTACTTGTATGTAAATGCGTTTGTGTAAACTTGTCTGTGGTATGATTATACAAGACCTTCGTACTTACAAATGTCGCTGTACTTTTCTTGTGTCAATAAAGATTTCCCTGTTGTACGTGTTAGGCCACATTGACTTAATTTTATGGATGGCATCCTCTGAAGACCGCCAAACTAGTGCGCCCGGACGAATACAAAAAAATCCGGCCAAAACTAAAACTAAACCACAGAAATGCAAAGCTGGTAATGTGAATTTGCGGCAGTACACAGCGACGTATACGACAAGCCGGCACATGCTAGCTTTTTGTGGAATTTATGAGTCGGCGCTGTACGTATGTACTGAGTTCTTGAGTCGTGGAGCTTCGACAGCCATCGAAGTGCCATCGAGTGCCATCCTCCAGAGTTACCACCGGCTCCGTATTTGTCGCTAACTACCATGGACTACCCAGGCCTAGAGCCAGACCAGAGCCTCGGAGGACGTGATCTTTTTTTGGAACAGACGAAAACCAATGCGCGTGTTGATGTCATCCATAAAATTAAGTCGGCGTGGCCTAACGGTACACAGCCAAGAATTCAACCTATAGCACTGTATAGTCCTTGAAAGTATACCTGTCATGTCAAGATAGTGGCCTGTTTGTCTATTTATATATGCATGGCGTGACGGAATGCTACGACCTGATTGGTCAAACAGGCCTCATAGATTTTCAGGAAAGTACTAAACCTCCTCCAAACGGATTTACCGCCCCATTCGCGCTAAGAGTCGCCAAGATGTTGGATCTTTTGCCTCTCTCCCCGACATGGGTGCTGGCCGGACTGTTTGCGGTGCTCTCTTACTGGTAAGTTAAGTTTTTTTTTTTTTTTTAAATTTCCTGATGCTGATGTACAAATATACAGGCCGAATTTTGAGCATGTTAACCTAATTTTGTAGTTTACTAAAGACTTTGCATTTTAGAGCCTTGTCGTGTACGTCGTAGGGTTGTCGTAACATGGTCGTACGGTCGTCGTTCGATTGCAAACGTCGGGTATTCTTGATGTAGTTTTGCAAGTGTCCTGCAAAAGTCAGCAAATGTTACGAAAAAGGACAATTTAGATATTTGTCGGCGGTTGGGTCTGCCACAGGAGTCTGCTTGAAAATTCTGCGACTCCAAAATTGTGCGACGATCCACGACGAATGTATCTTTGAAATTGCGATTTTTTCTTTTCGTGTTGCAAACTTTTCAGGGCTGTCCGCGTATTGCTACAGTGTAGCGTTGTTGTTGTTGTCATTGATTTACGTCTATTTTTCCGCTAAACGTAGACTCTTGGTGCCCTTCTCTGCATGCTTGGTGTTCGTATTCGATGCTCTGGCACTTTTCTGCACCGGTGCCTTGCACATGTGTGTTTTGGAAATGTTGGTTGGTCTTTCTTCTCAAACCTCGCAGTGTAGCAAGTCGCTACGTGACTCACAAATCCTACGCCCTACATTTCTTACTGTGCGTCATTAAGGTTAAGGACGAAGGTCTGAATGCTACTACGGATCATGTGCGTAGGCATGTGCTTGCTCCGCCAATCTAGAATCGTGCGACGACCTATGACGAATGTAACTCAGAAATTGCCATTTTTCTTCTCATGTTGCAAACTTTCCCGGGCTGCCCGCGTTATTGCTACAGTGTAGTGTTGTTCTTGTCGTCGTCGTTGTTGTTGTTGTCTCCGCTTAACGTCTATTTTTCCGCTAGACGTAAACTCTTGGTGCCCTTGTCTGCATGCTTGGTGCTTGTTTGTATTCGATGCTCTGATAATTTGCACTGGTGTCTTGGCTTGCACATGTGTGTTTGGGAAATGTTGGTTCGTTTATTTGTTTATTTCGATACCCTTTAGTCAATGACTAGTCTTCCAGGGTTCAAAACATACAAATATACTGACAGCAAAATTACAAGAGACTGAACATACATAATCATCACAAATTATATACAGGTTAAACAAAACGATCATGGCTTAACTTAACTTGGTTAGTCTTCCTTCTCAAACCCCGCAGTGTAGCAAGTCGAGACGGGACCTACATATCCTGTGCCCGACATTTCCCACTGTGCGCAATAAAAGGTTAAGGACGAACGAAGTACGGACGAAGGTCCACACGTAGGCATGTGCTCGCTCAGCCAATCATAAGTCGGAAGTGGGTGGCGCGGAAATGCTGACCGCTTATTGGCCATTGTAAGGCTAGCACGTACAGTTGTACCTAGAAATAGAATGTAATAAGCACGTCGCTAGAATTTGTAAGCATGTAACTGATTACTTGATAAGTTGTGTTTGCGTTTTTTTTTATATTTCAACATTTCATGACTAGACATGGCGACGGCACACTCAAGTTATTTTATGTCGTCACCAACGCAGAAAACGAATACAGGACAAGGCAATACTAATTTTCACTTGAGTGAAGTGAGGAAAGTCGTGTAAAGTGCCTTTCCCCGAAGGGCACAAGATCGGTGGCATGTCAGGACTCAAACCCGGGACCTCTTGGTTCAGAGTTGAGCACTCTGCCGCTACGCCACACGATCGCGACACTGTTCTTGTCACTGTTTTTGTTGTGTATTGATGAATGAAAATAAACATCGTACGGCGACCCACATCGCACGTCACACTGTGTAATTATGTTATCGCGTCGCCACTGTTGATCGACCTCCGGATACAAAGTTTACATACATTAGGCCACACCGACCTAATTTTATGGATGCCATCCTCTGAAGATCCCCAAACGTGTGCGCGCTGGAGAATTAAAAAAAAAAAGTCCGGCCAAAAATAAAAATGCTACTAAACCACAGGAATACATTGTGAATTTGCGGCAGTACATACCGACGTACAAGACAATCCGGCACATTCTGGCTTTATGAGTCAGCACTGTACGTATGTACTGAGTTCTTGAGTCGTGGAGCTTCGGTAGCCTGGATGCCATCCTCCAGGGTTACCACTGGCTCCGTATTGTCGCTAACTACCATGTTCTACCCAGGCCTAGAGCCATGCCAGACGTGATCTTTTTTTTAGAACAGGCGAAAATCAATGCGCGCGCGGATGTCATCCATAAAATTAAGGCGGTGTGGCCTTAGATACTGTATAAGCATTTCGTTCTGAGCAGGTGCGCGTTACATAGGCTGAAGTTGGACAGGAAAATTCTGGAAAGGAGGTCAAGAACCGTGATCAAATGCTCTCTTTCACATTTATTACACTCCAGTCTAATTTCTAATGACTATACTACTTGGGCGTCTGTGTACATTTCCTCTAGATCCACCTTCGGACAAACTCTCGTTTTTGTTTGCATACCGGATAGCACCCCTCAGTAGAGGAAATTCACCTCGGGTTGTTTAAGTAAAGTGTGTACACTGCTATAAAAGCTTCGGCCGGTGTTTAAAACTATTTCATCCGTCTCCGGCGGAAGAAACTGCCCTTTTTGCCCTTTGAAATGGAAAAGCGCTTGGTGGATGAAGGGAACGTACGAAAGACCATTATAAAGATTGTCGCATTGTTCTATGGTCAAAGAACCATCACCCAGTACAATATTTACAATCATCTCTTTTGAATTTTCTATTTGTCTCAAAAACAGCTATATCTCTAACTAAATATCATTGCTACAAGTAATTTAAATTCACTCTTTTTAGCATGTGCATTGCTACAATTCAAGTCACCAAGGTGACCTATTATTTGAGTCATTAATAGTGCAGACCCAACCAGCTATTCCCATTTTGGCCATTTTGGCCATTTTGGCGTTCTACAAATATTTTTCTCACTCCGATGAGACGCACACGATTTATACTTATAGTACTAGTACTCAATACGTTTACCTTGCGCCCCCTAGGTTTCGTAATTCAGACAAGTGGTTGTCCTAGAAGTTTTTAACCACTCATTGTATGTTTGTTCTAGACACAATCAAGATGATTTGTAACTCTCAAAACAATAGTGCAAACAGTATAGCCCTTCGCCAGGTTTTGATAGCTCACTGGAGTTAGTTCATTGTACTATGGAACAGACCCTCCATACTTCAAGTGGTTAAATGTCCCGTTTCTTGGTGGACGTCGTTTCTTGGGAATGTTTTCGTCTAGCCAAAGTCATAATTTTCCCCCGTACTATCCCACAGTGGAACTCCTTACCTGTCCCGGTAGTTATGGCTCCCAATGTTGAGTCGTTCCGGGCCGGGCTGGCAGCCTGCCTGCCTTAGCCTGGACCTCTCCCCCCCCCCCCCAACGTCACCCCTCGCGGGGTTATTTGGGGGTACCGAAGATGAAGATAATAATGTCAAATAGACAACAAGGGTATATCAAAACGAAATAAATTAATAAATACCTCCTTTAATTCTTTTTAGGTTCCTGGTGTGGCCGTTTTCCACGTTTAAGAAGCTGGGCATCCCTGGTCCCAAGCCGGTACCACTGTTTGGAAACTACCTGGGCTACCGGAAGGTTGGTATCCTTAGGCTAGTCTTAGAAGTTAGAACACAAGGAAATCGTTATGTGACAAAAAGGAGTAGATGCTAATCTCCAAGCAGATCCTAGCCCTCAAAAATATATAAAATTCTATATAAAATTTAGTATAAAATTGGCCAGGCAGTACCCAATTGGCCAGAGAGGGACCATGACCGACTCAAGGTGGCCGGAAACCTTCTCTGGCTAATGGATACCGTATTGCCACCGAAAGGGATCTGCTTGGAGATTAGTAGATGCTACTTGAAACGTCTATGCATATAAACATGTTCTCAACAATTGACCGTTCTTGTCCCTTCACGAATTTTAGATAAAAGAATCCATTATGATGCTTTTGATGAAATTCGTGTTGTGCTTTTTTCTTCAACCCAGGGTATGGGTAACTTTGATCAGGAGTGCTACCAAAAATACAACAAAGTCTACGGGTGAGTTCATTTTTGCATTTGTCAAGGTCCAATTTTGGGCGATCGCTGTAGTCTGTAAGTTGTTAGCAGTTGATATCGATGAAAATGATGATGATGAAAATGATGATGATGAAAATGATGATGGTGAAAACGATGATGATGAAAATGATGATGATGGAAATGATGATGAAGATGAAAATAATGATGATGAAAATGATGATGATGATGAAAATGATGATGATGAAAATGATGATGATGAAAATGATGATGATGAAAATGATGATGATGAAAATGATGATGATGGAAATGATGATGGTGAAAATGATGATGATGGCACTCTGATGATGAAGAATGCAACGATGATGCTACCACCACGTTGATGATAATTGTGGTGACGATGATAACAATGCAATTACAGTAGAATTATACTGATTATGACTGTAGAGATAATGATTGCAACTTTAACCCAGACCAAGGCTAATGACTAAATATTCCAGGTGTCAAAAACATTGTCGATGTCTTTCTGAAGAAAATATCTCGCGTAATCTGTATTCAAAATTTTCTAAATAAATTATTTTTTAATTTCAGATTTTTCGAAGGCCAGCAGCCCATATTGATGGTTGGTGATCTGAAGCTTGTGCGAGAGATAACAGTAAAGAAGACCAACATTTTCCAAAACCGGCGGGTAAGATCTACACTACATATCCACTCCGTATCTAATACCAGCCCAGAAAAGAACAAGAAACAGCCATGCCTTCAAATATCAGACTTATCAACCAAGGATTGAGGTGTTAAAGAACTCGTATTTTCCGAGAACTATCTTAGACTGGAACTCGTTGCCAACAAGCACAGCTGGGGCGTCATCACTACAAAGCTTTGAACAACTCCTGCAATTTAGATGTGCATAGATTGAGTGTCTACTCTTGCTAGTCTCCACCAGACTCCTTAGCAGGCTGAATAAATAGTAGAAATCGGCAAGGACATTGCACGGAGGCAAGCTGGACAATCTATATGGCCGGCCAACTCCTCTGGCCATTGATGTCTCCCTTAGCCGATTTCTACTATTTATTCAGCCTGCAAAGGAGTCTGGTGGAGACTAGCCTTTTCCCGAATAAGCCTGCTAGAGCCTACTGTAACAAGGACTGAGATGTGGCTTGCTTGTTTTGCAGGATTTGGCGGGCCGAGGTGAGATTTTCGGCGCCAGTGTGGCTGCGCTCAAGGACGATGACTGGAAACGGGTCCGTGGTGTCATCTCTCCCACCTTCAGCACAGGGAAACTTAAACAGGCACGTTGTTTGTTTGTTTTAGCATTGTTTATCCACGAAAAAAATCACATACGTTTTGTTGTTATCATTGAAGTTCATCTGACAATGTGTTGCTAGTTTACAGTGTCGAAAGTTAAAACTTTTGTTCCAACACTAGAGATTGTTCTCACCTAGTGGTTTCGACCAGTCACTCTGGTCTTCTTCAATAGACTGGCCCAGCGAGACTTTTTCTTGTTGTTTGACAACATCTTTGTACATGTGTGTGAGTTTATGTCGCAATACCCCACGTTTGAGACCGCATTCGTACCGTTGCGGCAGCGACACCTAGCTACATTGTGAAGAACGACCAGCATTGCCCTGAGGAAGGTGACGGTCACTGAAACGTCGACTTGTAGAACTCCTTAGGCCACACCGACTTAATTTTATTGATGACATCCGTTGATTTTTCGCCTGTTCTCAAAAAAAAAAAAAAAAGAATTACGTCCTCCGAGGCTCTGGCCTGGCTATATGCCGGCGGTAACTATGGGGGATGGCACCCAGGCTGCCGAAACTCCAACACACACGATCTCAGTACATACGTACAGTACCGATTCATAGACTCCGCAAAAAGCCAGCATGTGCCGGCTTGTCGTATATGTACTGACGCAAATTCACAATACCAGCTTTATATATCTGTGGTTTAGTACCATTATTATTTTTTTTTGGGGGGGGGGGTCTTCAGAGGATGTCATCCATAAATTAAGGCGGTGTGGCCTTAGTGGTGAATAAAAACGTTGTGATACAGCCATTACAAGCCTGAGAAAATTATTGACGGATTGTATTTTCCTGTAGATGTCCCCACATCTGGAGAGGTGCGCTGCCAACTTTATTTCCAAGCTTGACGAAAACTGTCAAGATGGGACCGTGTTTGACATGAAGAAGTGAGTATAGGTTGGGTACAGAAATCCCCCTGAAATGCTCAAACAGTCGATGTCTTTTCCATTGCCGATATCTGTATCTGTTTCTGTATAGCCGGTATAACCGCCTTTCGGCGTAACACACCAGCTTCTGTATCTGTATAGCCGGTATAACCGCCCTTCGGCGTAACACACCAGCTTCTGTATCTGTATAGCCGGTATAACCACCCTTCGGCGTAACACACCAGCTTCTGTTTCTGTATAGCCGGTATAACCGCCTTTCGGCGTAACACACCAGCTTAAAGATAGAAAGCATTCTATAGTAGACGTGCAATCAATACGCGAGGCAAGAAATGTTTCGAAAGATTTCAGAACGACAATTTGTAACATTTTCCTGATCTTTGTGAGCAAGTTTAAACACACTCAAGCGTCATATTTCGACACTTTTACTTCCTGAATGGCACTATTTTTGCAATGGAGTAGGGTTGATTCAACTTACATTGTAAAGGAAAGACCAGGACATTTAGTACTTTTTGTATCTTCCTAATGTTACATAATACATCTTTTACTTTTGTATCTTCCTAATGTTATATAGTACAGCTTTAATGAACGAATGTTTTGAATACCGCTAGGCTTACAGGTGCCTTCTCCCTGGACGTCACCTCCAGTACAGCCTTCGGCGTGGACGTGGATTCCCTCAACAACCCGGACAACCCTCTCGTGTGGAGCGCCAAGAACATGTTCGATTTCAGCTTCTATAATCCACTGGTCCTCATTGTCAGTAAGTATTGTTTCCTTATTCTAAGTCATTTTCACCTAGAACTTTCGCAGAGTGGAACTCGCTGTCACCAAATACTGTAGGGGCATTATCATTAGATAGCTTTAAAGATATCTAAAAAGCTTTAAAGCCACCTAACCCACCTTCCACCTAAACCTTGAACATCTAACTTAAACATAAAGCTAGATGTTCAAGGTTTAGGTGGAACAAGTCGTTCGGTGTAATGTAGCCAGCTGCTGCCGCGCCGCGTGCCTGTAAAGCTGGTGTGTTACGCCCAAGGGTGGTTATACAGGCTCTTCAGATACAATTACTAGTTTGATCTTATAAAAGGTACACTAACCTGGAACCCCCTTTTAAGTCCTTTTAAGTGTACTTCATTGCGAGTGAGGGGTATCCAGGGTCGATCAACGTCTAATCGTCAAAAACTTTTCTCCCCAACAGTTCTGTTCCCACAGCTGGCCTGGATCCTGGAGTTTTGTGGGGTGAACTTCATGAACAAGAAATCCATCACATATTTCAGCGATGCTGTGGACCACGCGATCAACATGAAGAGAGAAGTTTCAGACAAAGAGGTGAGCTTTTTTCTAAGGAACGTTAAGGTTATATTTTTTTTACTTTTTCATGTTTTTAAAGAGCGGAATCTTTGCAGTGCCCGCGCATGTTGTTGTTCTGTACTTCAGTTACTTAATGGAGTGCATGCAATTTCCCTGTCAGTGTCCCAATTGCGATTTCGAAGGAAAAAAGTTATTCAAAGAAGTTTTTCACAGCAAACGACAAAAGACTAGTTCGATGTAGCATATAGTTTTAAACCATTCCTTATACTTTCTGTACTCATTTTTCTTGTCAATATCTGTTTGCAATTAGCCTTCGGGCATAATTATATAAACGTGCAATAAAGCTACTCCACTCTATCCAATTCTATTGTTAATCTGACCACTTAATCTCCCATATCCCTAGAGACCACCGGACTTTCTTCAGCTGGCCCTAGCGGCTCACAACGAGGAACTGGACAACGGCGTGTCCGCTAACACCGCCAAGTGGGGTCAGTACGGATTACTAACACACATTATGTAGCCTGCGTTATGCTTATGGCACATTTGAGCCAAATCCTTGAGCTGCCATATACGTGAGAGGTCAGGTGTTTAGGGCTTAAGGGTTAGGGTTAGGATTGGGATCATCGTTCAGGGCTAGGGGTAGACTTACGATTGGGGTTAGGATTGGTCTCCCACATCACGATTAAATGGCAGAACTGCTAGAAGCGTGTTATAGTCAGGCTTGGGGTCTGACCAGTGGAAGGGCTGCTAAAAGAGTGATGTAGTCAGGCTAGGGTCCTGCTCGCCTTGCACTCAGCTTAGCATTCAGAATTCGAGAAAGAGTATGGGATTTAAACACACACCACTACCAGTGAACTGGCCCCCTGCTATATGTGCAGTGAATACACAACTGTGTGGCCCAAGGTCTCCAGAAACGAAGATAGGCGCCGCCATTAGCGACCATGCCAATCGTTGCAAGTAGGACTTTTTTTTTAAATTGCTTAGCTGAAAGTCTAACCTTCACCAACCCCTCCTATAAGGTATCCGTAAATACTTTCATACAGAAAAAAACTTTATGCCCAAAGTAAGCTGTTACAATGAAGTTCACTCTGCACTGAAGCTAGATGGTCACCGAAACGTTGGCTCATGTAAAACGAATGGCTGTGAATAAAAGAACTTTAATATAGCTCAGAGTTTGGATTCCAAGGTTAAATTCTTCGATGTTGTAAGTGATTCAGAATTTCCACGATTTGTTTCTCACAAAGTTGTCCTGAGAAGATTACCAGTTTCAGTATTGTATCTTGAGATAGTTAAGCGCGCTGCATAATGACGGTTTCTGTCATATGCGAGGCGTGTTGCCGTTTTTTGCACGTTTGTATCAATAAATCTTGGTATTTCCGCCAAAGACCGCTGCTTGTTGGTTGATGATGTGTTAGTTCTCTATCAATCGATCGGTTATTTGCTATGGTCCTAGGAAGTAAGCATAAAATCACTTTCGTAAACGAAAAGAACTTTAATATTCTCTCCTCAGGTATTTCCAAGAAAGAGATCAAGGGAAACGCAGTGCTGTTCTGGGCGGCCGGGTACGAGAGCACCTCCAACACCATCGCGCTTACAGCCTACAACCTGGCGCTGCACCAGGAGGCACAGGACAGGTGTATCGAGGAAATTGACGCCGTCATCAAGAAGCATGTAAGACGCTAAAGCTGATTATTTGATGCTTATTGTTGTTTTTATTAAAGATTTCAACATAAAAGAATAATACAGTAATATCAATGAACTAGAAAGGTAACATTTGCAAAGCAAATGCATAAAGTTTACCTTCGAATTTGGTCTGCTCTGTTAATTCTTACTCAAACCACATATGGTCATACAGGAGTCTAAAACCCTCCTGCTAATAAATTGCAACATGATGTCACCCAACACTACTTACCATGGTAACAGACAGTCTGGTTCAGGTCATTGACCTTTTTTGGTTTGGAGAGTGTACCCTGAGATAGGTGATAAAGACCGAGAGATTCTCAAAAATTACTGAGTCAATTCCTTGAGTTTATATCTTATTAAATTCTAATTTACAGATTTACTAAACTTTTTTTGCTGATATGAAATTGTTCTTTTGCAGGGGGTGCTGGACTACAAGGCCATTCATGAGCTGCCGTATCTGGAGATGTGCATCAACGAGACACTCAGGATTTTCCCTTCTACCACAAGGTAACGTGCGTAGTCATCTGTCTTGTCTGTTACGACCAGGTGTAATGACGATCTCCTTGCCTGGCCCGGTAATCCCCTTGCCTGGCCCGGTAATCATGGCTCCCACCGTTGTGTCCTTCCGGGCCAGGCTGGAGGCCTGCCCGCCTTAGACCAAGGCCTCCCCCCCCTAAAGTGCCCCAATAGGGGCTATATGGGGGTGTAGCCGGGGCTTGTATAACATCTTAGAGCCCCGGCAAAGATGAAGATGAAGATGAAAATGTACCATCCAAACGTCCTCCTCTGTCATAGAATGCGGGCTCTGCCTCAGTGTGTGTGTTCTTTAACATGCTAAGTCTTCTAGGACTGACGAAATATGTTCCAAGGTAGGACTGACCAAGGACGTTCTATCTTGTTGAACGTCATTGGATTGACCATGTCTTCAAGGAAGATGTCAACATACATGCACCTCGATATCAGTTTTGGACCAGACACATGTGAACTAGAAGACGTACTGTACATGTATGCTTGTATACAGTACATTCCTAACTGGGTAGTTAGGTCTTGCTGGTTCTAGGACTGACAAAATCTGTTTTAAGGTAGTGAGTAAAGAGAATCTTTCTACACAACCAAGTGTTTTATTCACAGATGTCACCTTCCTCAGGGCAATTCTGACTGGTTCACATTGTACTGCACGAAACGTCGGCTGAATAAAAGACTTGGTTGTGTAAAAAGAGTCTCTTTACTCAGTGACTTACCAACCTGACGAACTATTCACGGATGTTCTATGTTAGGATTGACCGCGTTGCCAAGGAAGATGTTGACCTGGATGGGATCCGTATCCCCGCCGGCATGCTGGTATTCGTGCCGGTCTGGTCCATCCACATGGATGCAGACATCTGGCCGGAGCCGGAGGAGTTCAGGCCTGAAAGGTGAGACGGAAGTGCTGTTTTGGGTGCCTGAGCTGTGTGTGTGTGCATGCGTGTGTGTGTGTGTATGTGTGTGTGTGTGTGTGTGTGTGTGTGCATGTGTGTGTGTGTGTGTCTGTCTGTCTGGTCCATCCACCATGATGTGTGTGTGTGTTTGTGTGTGTGTTTGTGTGTGTGTGTGTGTGTGTGTGTGTGTGTGTGTGTGTGTGTGTCTGTGTGTGTGTCTGTGTGTGTGTCTGTGTGTGTCTCTCTCTCTCTCTCTGTGTGTGTGTGTGTGTGAATACATGTGTGTGGCACATAAATCAAGAAAACAGAGGTACAGATTGACCCAACTAAAACTACATAAACAATAACATATATAAGTACATAAACATTCCAGATATACAGAGTGAACACTTTTTGAACTGAGATAAATCCAGTATCAAATTGGCCAGGCAGTATCCATTGGTACAAACGCCTGCCTGTCCAATTTAATACAGTCTTTTGCCACCCTAGGCTCTGCTTGGAGATTAATCATAGACACAATGCCTGTTCCAGGTTCTCTAAGGAGGCGGTGGCAGCCCGTGACCCGTACGCCTACCTGCCGTTCGGCTCCGGACCCAGGAACTGTGCCGGCATGCGTCTCTCCCTGCTGGAGCTCAGGTTTTCTCTCGCTAAGGCCCTGGAGAAGTTCCGCTTCGTCACCTGCAAGGAGACCGTGGTAAGTCCCTAGCCTCTACCAGGCTTGAGGAGGCGGCTGGAAAGAGTAGAAATCGGCCAAAATAGAGAGATAAGCATGCCAAGGGAGTTTGACCGTTGAGAGAACAGTTCGCCGCACCCCAACTGTTCTCTAAACGGTCAAACTCCCTTGGCATGCTTATCTCTCTATTTTGGCCGATTTCTACTCTTTCCAGCCGCCTCCTCAAGCCTGGTAGAGGCTAGTAAGTCCCGACGTACAAATACTTAGCATCTACTAGGCCTTCGAATTCCTGTGAGGTTATGGATTTCGAGTTAGCCTGGATGCCAGACTGGTTAGACCCTGAGAAGCTCATTGTGGGATGTCCATGGTGCAATTCTTTTGGGTACATGTTGGTTCGGAGATGGCCTGGCTCTGGCAACAGTCTGGCACCCGGGCTAGGATATAGCCACATACAGTTAGTGTTTAATTTACCAATGTAGCAAGATAGAAACTCCAACAGCATTTAATTAAGAAGTGGCTTAAAGCTTGCTCAACTGATATTTGGTTAACCAGTCGTCGTTCTAGTCGAGGTCAGAAGAAAACCTATATATCCTGTAGCTGTATGTCAACATGCTTTAATCATGCGTGAATGTCTGGACACATTTACATCCCATTGACGCCTTTTAACACTACATTCGTGTTGTTGTTGACTTCAGATTCCCGTTCGCTTCAAGAAGAGTATGCTGAACCAGATAGACCATGAGGTCTGGCTGAAGGTGGAGGCCCGCACACCAACACATGCCTAGGTTAGGTTTGCTGGGGGGCGGTATCGACTTCCCACGAACTTTGACCCTTTGATGACGTCATACATGAAAAAGTCGCGTGTTTTGTGCAAGCAGGTTCTACAGACGGCTAAAGAAGACTGAATCAGTTTAAAATTTCAGAGACCCAAATTTCTTGAGTTGGAGAACAGTTTAACTTTTTTCACATATTCCTATAGGTCAATGTTGTCAATGGATTAGCCATCCAAGGTGTCCTATGTAATGTTGCAGCCACTGTCATTTTCTTATAGGACTGTTAAGCCATAGACAATGCTGTAGGGGATATAAAAATTAGGCTTTGACCACGGTCAAAATATTGACCGAAAGGAGACATTTTTGTCATCCAATGAGGCTTGAGCAAATGTGTTGTTCTGTTATCTAGATCTTTTTCAGATCCAACGTACCTGAAAATTTGTGTATTACTTTTCTTGATTCAAAGTTGACCATGAAAAGAGTTCACGTAGCTTTGTTTTATATGTTTTACAAGCTTATCACATGTTTTCTTAAGGCTTTGTTTTGTCATTTGTCCACTTTTGAGAATTTCTTGATTCAATTTCTGGATTATTGTTAAGTACAAATTTGTGTATCCTCAGTGAGGACTATGAGTTAACTTGACATATTCACAATTGGAATTCGTTAGCACAAGTACTACATATTTTGCCATGTACATACTTACTAAAATGTACCACAGAAATGTAGAGCCTAGAGTACAGTAGAACAGATCGCGCCATATTGGCTACGCATAGGTCATGCAGGTTGAAGCACCAAGAAGCGAGTGCCATGTAATAGTTTCTGAATTTGGTGTGTATCTTATCTCACCTTCCACCTACCTGGGAGCGACTGTTTGTCATTGTCATTTAGTGTGTTAATCCCTGTATGTACATTATTGGACTAATGAGATTCTATTAAAGTATCACCATTTCTTGCTTATCCTATGGCAGTGTGTACGGTATACCGGTAATTTCAAATAATAGCAAAAGTGTAGTTGTTTGCTTCTTTACAACGTGTTGTCTGTACCTTTGCTCACTCCTTTCACTTACCCAAATAAGGTATTGTAGTATAACGTACTTATTGGATATGTTCCCATATAAGGTATTGCGCGTAAAAGATACGAATTGAATATATGCCCATATTAGGTAACGTTGCGCCTTATAAATGAAGAAACACCCAGAAATAAGACCTTACGCCAGTGACTTCACACGTCCCATGCCACTGTAGACCACACATAGGTGCCGTCAGTAGTATTTATATAGCTGTGACCTATTGGTACACTCACGTACAGCGGGTCTATCTACGAGTACTCGCCATATGCCTTGATCCTATCTGCAGGTCACGTCTCAAGTTAAAAGAAGTACTCTCCAAGCAGAGGTTGATGGGTGAAGATCTGATCTGATTTAGGTGTAACAAGTCGATCGGTGTAATGTAGCCAGCTGCCGCCGCGCCGCATGCCTGCGAAGCTGGTGTGTTATGCCGAAGGACGGTTATACCGGCTATACAGATACAGAAGCTGGTGTGTTACGCCGAGAGGGAGTTATACTGGCTATACAGATACAGAAGCTGGTGTGTTACGCCGAAGGGCGGTTATACCGGCTATACAGATACAGATACAGATACAGAAGCTGGTGTGTTAGGCCGAAGGGCGGTTATGCCGGCTTTACAGATACAGAAGCTGCTGTGTTACACCGAAGGGCGGTTATACCGGCTATACAGATACAGATCGTTTGCTTTTTATATATGGCCCGTTTTTTGTCGCTACAAAACAAAACGGGTCATACATAAAAAGCAAACGATCTTCCCCCATTAACCTCTGATTGGAGAGTAAAAAGAAGAGCCACAAAAGATCAATGCAGTTATCACATGCACACGATATCTTCTTAATTAATAGCTTCTTCAACCAAAAAAGACGCCAGAATGTTCCCTTTTTTCTTACGCAACGCTTTGCAACAACTTCGTTCGCCCGACAGGTCGTTCTAAATACCAAACAGCGGAGCCAGGTCGTTGCAACATCACTACGTCACTTGTTTGCCCCTTGCATATTGAGTCAGCCCGCCATGCATGTCTATATAAGGGCATAGGTCTGGGGCCGTACCTCGATCAACAAGTGGTCCCTGCAGCCGGCCGGGTTTCTGAACGGTTCCAGACAAAACTTCTGAGCTGATCTACGTGAAGAGAGGCCAACATGTTGGAACTCCTGCCCTTCTCCCCTACCTGGTTATTGGTAGGGCTGTGTGCGGTCCTGCTTTACCTGTGAGTAGCTTCTTAAGGTATCTGTATCTGTATAGCTGGTATAATCGCCCTTCGGCCTAACACACCAGCTTTGGTGATTGACTTAAGGTTGAACTGTCGTCGTTGCAAGTAGGCAATTCACCTTTGGTCCTAGTGACTATTGAACAATAACTGTTAGTTACGTCGATCGAGGTAATGAGATACACAAGAATTAACACAGCTACAGATTCCGTTAGACACCGTTAGTCAAAGTAGTGAATGCTACTTGAAACGTCTGACAGTTTTCACACTCTATCCAGTTGCTTGAGTAGCATGGTCTGGTGAATAACGGTTAGTCTAACCATGCCATTGAAAAGATCACTGGCTTGCTGCAGAATTCCAAAGAAACATAATATTTAATGTGAAATAGCGTTAGGTTTAAACCTCTATCTGGCCGTATTGTGGCCCTATTTGTTTTGTTTACGCTCGTTTCAATTAAAACGTTTGCTAATTTCACTAGATCTATTATGTTGCAAATGTTGCAAATGATCCTCGAAAGGGTTTAAACATTAACCAGCATACTTATGTCACTTGGACACCCCTATAGGTTCTCGACGTGGCCGTATTCCACCTTCAAAGACCTGGGCATCCCTGGCCCCAAACCCGCGCCGCTGGTTGGAAACTACTTCTCATACGGGCAGGTATGTTGGAAAAGTTAAAAGAGCCTTCCCGCGTCAATTAGCCCTGGGCCACACACAGCAGTCACTACAGCAGGGGGCCAGTCCACTGGTAGTGGTGTGTGTTTGACTCCCATACTCTTTCTCAAATGCTCAGTGCTAAGCAGTGAAAGCAATAAGTACCATCTTTAAAGTCTTTGGTATGACTCGCCCGGGGATCAAACTCACGACCTACTCTCCAAGCAGAGGTTGTGGGGAATGATCGTTACCTTTGTATATATGGCCGTTTTTTTTGTCCTGATCCCCACCAACAACCCGTCGGTGGCCGCGGAGCTTCTCTGGCCAATGGATATTGCCTGGCCAATTTGATACTGTCTTTTTTGCCACCGATAGGGATCTGCTTGGAGATTACTCACGACCTACCGAATACGAGGCGAGCACTTTACCCACTTGGCCATTGTGCCTTCCCTTTAAATAAGCCTGGTGGCATACAGGGGTTTTTCTTTACAAATGTTTGTCACACCGGGGTTTCTTAACAAAGACGGCAGTGCTAAGAATTGCAACCCCAAGCAGCTGGATCTACATCTAAATAATACACGGCACAAAGGAAAGGGTCAAACAGGTGACACCATGCCCTGACGGGAGGTACAGTATGCATAGGGTGGTTGTTAGGCCCCTTTGCTACTTAGCAACCGAACAATGTTGGATCTGTCAGTGCGCGACCCTTGGTCATAATTGGAATACGAGGCAAAGTGAAAAAAAAACTGATTCAGAATTAAGAAAAAAAAATCACAAAATTGTTTGAAATATCTTTTATCAATTGAATTTACTGAGCGATCCGTCAAATCTTAGCACAGCAGTCGCAGTGTCTGATGGAAAGGGTGTTACTACTGGCAGCCAGACAATACTGACAGCATCAGGCCCTTAGTTAGCCTCTACTAGGCTTCGGGGGGCAGCTGGAAAGAGTAGAAATTGGCCAAATAGGGAGATGGCATGCCAGGAGAGTTTGATCGGGGTGAGAACAGTCTCGGGACCAGCAAACTGTTCTCTCTTCGACCAAACTCCCTTGGCATGCTCTCTCCCTATTTGGGCGATTTCTACTCTTTCCAGCCGCCTCCCAAAGCCCGGTAGAAGTTTTAAGCCCTTAGTAACAACTGGGGAGGGCTTGGGAAGTCAGTTTAGCCTTGAAGTCATCAAGGACATTATGCAGTATGGCATCATGAGGTTGCTGGCTTGAGTATTTTAGTTGATGACATAACCACGCATACATCCATGCATGACTTAATATGACGTTTAATACTAATAATGTGATGCCCCAATGTCAATTCAGCCTCTGGCTGCCATTTTTGGGACAGTGTTGTTGTGTTTTAATGCAAATAAACCAATAAAGCATTCATATGGCCTGACTCAGAGTTGGCCCTGAGACATTTTTTTTACACATGATCGTTTACCCACAAGGAAATTATGTAGTATGAAATCATGAGGTTACTGGGTAGAGTATTCCAGCTGATGACATAACCACGCATACATCCATGCACGGCCTGACTCAGAGTTGGCCCTGGGACAAACACATGACCGTTTACCCACATTTGCAGCCCGGGGTTACCAGAGGTCACTTAGCACTGAATAAACATAGCGACACGAACAACTACAGCGCCCCAGGGTTTTTCTTTTTTTGCAGAACTTTTGATTCACTTCTTTTCCTGTTTACAAGTCAGAACCAGGAGGGAAATCTTTGTGAAAGTAAAAGACAAAAGACTATTTTGGCGATAGGTCTAGTGTGTTTGGAATAATACAGTGGAGGAAAAGGGCGTCTTCATATGGTAGCAATGTAGAAGTGATTGTCCACTGCAAAACGTATACGTATCAACCACAATGCTGGTAAATTGTCTGTAAAAGTTTGGTATAAAAGCTATCATGAAGGTAGTTCATTTCTACCTCCATGATCTTAGTTTCCCATTTTTCTCTGCTGAAATTGTTGTTGTTTGCGTGTGTGATTATCATTTACTCTTGTTTATTGTATTTCATGAAGGGCGTAGGCAAGTTCGACCAGGAATGTTACAAGAAGTTCAACAAAGTCTGGGGGTAAGTTTGTTTGTATCTTTGTGTATATGCGTTCATTCATTCATTTGTAAGTCTGTCTTTAAAAGAGAGTTTGTTTGCTGCAGTTCCTATTTGCTCCGCCAGAGGAGGCAAAGCCTGCTATCTAGAGTCATGTTTGAAAATTATATTGTAATGACGATGATTAAATGGTAATAATGTGATAGCGACAATCATTTTGCATTTTCATTTTCGCAATGGCAAACTTACACAATGTCATGTAGATCTACTTCATGCATCTCAGTCGAAGACGTATACAAACATCGCCTATTTTATTTTTATGTTATTTTATTGTATTTTAGGATTTTCGAAGGCCGACAGCCGATCCTGTTAGTCGGTGACCTGGAACTTGTGAAGGACATCACCGTGAAGGAGGCCAACACGTTCACCAACAGAAGGGTACGTGACATGCAACATCAGAATCTGTACTCACATAAAGTAAAAGTTATGAAACAAGATTGAACTGCAATTTCCAACATACGAGATCGGACTCACCCAAATTTTCGGCTGTACAACTCCAGTCTTTGTCAAGGAATGAGCAATCCACCGCTTACGTGACGCCACGCAGATAACACACGTGACTCCGTGAGCAGTGGATCATAAGTTGCATAAAATCTGTGGCGCCCCCTGTCTCTGTTGAGGGATGGTTGTAGTGCCCTGATGTAGATGGCATCTTTAGTCCCTCTCTTTAATCCTAAAGTTAGAGTTATTCCAATACAATTGCAAGAACATATCCTTCGTATTCCATACCCAAGGGAGCCACCAGCTACAATACTGCCTGCCAATAAGGAATATTCCAGTCAGGATATTCTTTGTTCTCTTGTTTTATTTTTCTTATCTAAATTACAACGTATAAAACTTGCAGATTTTCGAGGGCCAGGGAGAACTTCTCGGCAATGGACTCACCATCCTTAAGGACGCGGACTGGAAACGGGTCCGCAGTGCCATCTCACCCACCTTCAGTTCCGGGAAACTTAAGCAGGTATGTAAAGTCAACACTACTGTCTGCACTGTCTATGGCGAGAACTGGCATTCTTTTTTTAAAAAGATACAGCACACTAGTGGACTACTAACCTTCGTTGTGTGTGAGGGTGTTATATGAAAGAAGATGTAAGTAATCAAATTCTCCCTGGACCCTTTATCTGTCCTCTATCTTAAACGAAGTCAGGAATATTTTTGGTATGGCTTTGATTCAACCATAACAAAAATACCGTTTGTAGAAATGTAAAACTGGCATGGCGACATTGTGTGATAAATGTTGAAATTTCCGTGATATACTGAACTGACGTGAGACAGCAATGATGACTGTATCCAGAAACATTCTATGGTTATATATATACTCTCTGGAAAGGAAGTACGTTTAGCTTAAACGTTTTTTTTATTGGGTTCTTCCACAGATGGCCCTGGTCGTGGAGAAGTGTGCGGACAACTTTGTAGCCAACTTGGACGAGAACGCGAAAAATGACGTCCAGTTTAACCTGAAAGAGTGAGTACTACACACTCAGACCTGGAGGTCACCTTAGATTTTAGATCCTCCAACATCTTTGCTGCATATTTCAACTTAGAGGCTATATATCATAAAGATCCATCCACAATTTCTCGACTTACGGTAGCAAAAAAAATATATATACATACATAAAATTTTAAAAAACATGATTGGGCTCTGTGATAGACTTTTGATTAAGGTAATAAAACGTACTGTCTGTATCTACCCTGTAACTTTGTAGATATGTAAATATCGCTTGAGGACGCATCTATAGCAGGAACGTCCGTTCTGTGCAATGTGAACCAGTCAGAATCGCCCTGAGGAAGGTGATCGACGGTCACCGAAAAGTCGCCTTAAAAAACCTCTTGGTCTCTCCCCCAGTCTGGCCGGTGCCTACACGATGGATGTGATTTCAGGCACGGCGTTTGGAGTAGATGTGGACTCTCTACACAACCCTGACCACCCGTTCGTCGCAAACGCCAAAAAGCTGTTCGAGTTCAATCTATTCAACCCTATCATCATCATTCTCTGTGAGTATATGTGTCATGGGTCATACGTGCCAGATAACTTGTGTCGCCCCCCGTCTCCGCTCAGGCTCTAATGTGGCTCCATCTAGAGCTAGTTCCTCCAGTTCACAGTGGAGCACTGGACACTTTTGACAACCTTGCTTACAGTTAAAACTGTCTTAACAATCAACTAATACATTGTTCTTGTTGCCCTCATAGTTCTGTTCCCTAAGTTGGCGAACGTCATGGAGAAACTCGGCTACTCCCTGTTTTCCAAAAAAGTGATGACTTTCTTCAGCTCGGCGGTCGACAACGTGATTGACATGAGAAAAACCAACGAAGAGGAGGCCGTAAGATGCAACCTTTTCACTCAACTTTTGATATGTCTTAATCTCAAAGAGCAGATTTCTATTGACACTATTCAATGACGGGAGTCAACTGGTTACAAACTGGCCTATAGAATCCATTTGCTCCCCAAGAAATCTGCTTTGAAATTAGCTCTGTCTTAAATTGCAGTTTTTTTCTATATCAGGGTGGAATATAGTTCATCCTTCCCACAAAGGGACCACATCGCTCTTATGGTTCAGGCTTTTAATCAATGTACATAAAACATTTTCAGAAAAGGGTGGACTTCCTCCAGCTGATGCTTAAGGCTCACAACAAAGAACTGGACGGGGAAGTGCCGAAGGACATGGTCAAACACGGTCAGTACTTACTGTGGATAAGAACAACACTGCTAGCACGCATTGGCGGTGTCGTTACGAAGGTGGCAGAAAGTCTGTGTCCGCAATCTACCTGAAGCGCAGTGCATGGAATGCCTGTACTATCTATCTATCACCATCACCAGGAAAGTTGACAAGGCAGCATTCAGAAGCATGAAACTCACCAGTCTGTCTGTGTATCCCTCTCAGTCTCATAGTAATTGGTCGAGGTTAGCACATATGCATAGATGCACTAGATTGCCCCACGATTCTTCTAACTGAGTTGATGATCACGTTTCTAGAGGACTGATCATAAGAAGGGTTGCTATATGATGTAGTCAGGCTACTGACGCTTTGCTGTTGCTTTTTATTAAACCATAAGGTGTTTCCAAGAAGGAGATCAAGGGCAACGCCGTTCTGTTCTGGGTAGCTGGGTACGAGACGACGGCCAACACCATCTCTCTCACAGCCTACAACCTGGCTGTCCACCCAGAGGTGCAAGACAAGGTTATCGAGGAAGTGGACACCGTCATTCAGAAGAGAGTACGTACACTCTACTCTTCCCTGCTTTACTCTACTCTTCCCTACTCTACTCTGCTCTGCTCTGCTCTATTCTACCCTACTTTACTCTACTCTACTCTACTGTACTCTACTGTACTCTACTCCACTCCACTCCTCTCTACTCTACTCTACTTTACTCTACTCTACTCTACTCTACTCCACTCCACTCCACTCCACTCCACTCCACTCCACTCCACTCCACTCCACTCCACTCCACTCCTCTCTACTCTACTCTACTCTACTCTACTCTACTCTACTCTACTCTACTCTACTCTACTCCACTCCACTCCACTCCACTCCACTTTACTCTACTCTACTCTACTCTACTCTACTCTACTCTACTCTTCCCTACTCTACTCTACTCTACTCCACTCTATTTTTATAAGAATACACCATTTTTTTTTACTTCAGGGCAAGCTGGACTACGAAGCTGTGAATGAGATGCACTACTTGGACATGTGCGTCAGTGAGACCCTCAGGATGTTCCCCGCTGCCCAGAGGTAAGAGCGAGTTCTACTCTAGTTCTATAAAATACTGAGCAAAGCCCCATCTAGGGCATCCCGCCCAGGGTGTACGGCTATTGCGGCCGGTGGGGTGCGGTGAAGAAAGTGCATGAAATCAAAAAACAAACGAACATAAATTTGTGCATTTTGTGACTGGCCGCAATAAGCAATCCCGACTTACATCTGACGAGTGTGTAAGTTCGTTTTAGGTCAGAAAATATTACGGATTTAATATAAGCACTGTTTAAAGATTCTTCTTTTGAAATTTTGTGCAAATTGTAGTTTAACATTCGTGCTTTCATCTTCATTGTCTTAAACGTATTGGCTGCTTCATTAGCTACCAAATCGTCCTTCAGAGGAAGAAATTGAGTCTTCGGGTCCATGTATGGGTGAGGCCCATGCGTTAAAGACTGACCAACACACTCATACTGATAGAGAAGATTGTGTGCTTGGCCAAATTGGTGACACTACAGCCTTATGCCTTCTCTCCAGTCACTGTATTAACATTGCCAATGGTCAATATTATACGTATGAACTGCTCTCTGGTTGCCTGTAGGTTTGATCGTGTGTGTAAGGAGGATACTGAGGTAAAAGGTCTGCACATCCCAGCCGGAACCATCGTCAACATCCCCGTGTACCCCATACACTATGACGAGGACATCTGGCCGGAACCGGAGAGGTTCAGGCCTGAGAGGTAATACTAGTATTTTTTCCAATTTTATTAAGAATAGTCAACATAGCAGGGGTACATAGTACTCCTGAATTGTGTGGACTTTACATTTTATTAAGTATAAGAAACGCACAAGACAATTACATACAAGAGTGGGACATGAAAAAAAAGAACACTAGGTCTGCATTTGGCTATTGTACAGTCTGATTGTGTAGTGGAGGAACGAGTTATACAGTCTGTTTGTCCGTGCCTTGGGCACCGTGATTCCCCCAGAGTTCCTCAAGCACCTCCCTGTGCATATGTGTGCTTAGTATATGGAATCCAACTTGAGTAAATTATAAGATATGCTAATGTCAAACCATGTATTTATCCCTCTTCTTCTTTCTGTAAAAGGAAACCGACATCGTCATGTTGAAAACTCTCTCTTGCATACAGAACGCCATGTAGTAATCTTTGAACCCAATCGTATCCAGAACCGTGCCTATCTACATTGTAGTTCTCTGGGTTAGGGTTTTGCTCGGATACGGTTATGGATAGTCTCCGCGTATCCAAGAACGTAGATGTGCCTTTGGCACGTTTCTGGATTCGCCTGGATTCGCCTTGTTACCAGACCTGTTATAGCAAATATTTGCGGAGAGAATGCAGGACTCGGGAGCTATAATAGGTCTGGTAACCAGGCTTCTTGGACTATCCAGAACCGTGCCTGAGTATGGGTCTGGATAAAGCACGTCTCTGGATACTCCTGTTGATATTTAGCTGACGAGTTTTCTTTCCCAGGTTCAGCAAGGAAGAGAAGGAGGCCCGTGACCCTTACGCCTACCTGCCGTTCGGCTCCGGACCCCGGAACTGTGTCGGCATGCGGCTGGCCCTGCTCGAGCTGAAATTTGCTCTGGCCAAAGCTCTGGAGAAGTTCCGCTTCGTCACCTCCGATAAGACCGTGGTAAGTTTTCTATCTGCAAATATTATCAACTTTCTTTGCCTCAAGAAATAGTCAGCCACTTGATTTTCCCTGCTATATTAGCCTTGAGGTATTTGTTGTGTTATATATAGTTACGGCCTGACATTGTACCAAGTACAATTGTCGCGCGAAACATATGACAAACAACTCTAAGGCTCTGTCTTGTTCATTTCGTCTGAAGTGCGACGAAGCAGGCTTGGTAAGTTCGTGGCTGGTAGACTAATCCAGTGGCTTCCCTCTGGGAGTGCCCACCATGAGGGACAGGGGGTACTGAAGTAACTTTATCAAACGTACCTCACCCGAATAATCCGGAGTCACGAAGATGATGATGTCGGGTCATGAATTCATTTGTATGATTCTATTTTTGTTGTTTTTCAGATCCCCATCCGCATTAAGAACACTCTCGGAAACCAGATAGAGGGCGGCGTGTGGCTGAAGGTGGAAGCCCGTTCTTAGGGAGATGCCAGCAGTACTAGCCTCCTTTTCAGGCGTTTCGGGATCGGTCTTTTTTTTATTTGGGGGCGTAGATTGCACGCATTAGAAGCTCCGGCCACCAAACCTAGTTGTGTCAGGGATGGCATACTAGTGTTAGAGCTTCTAATGCTTGCGTTTGATCAGAAAATACCCCCCCCCCCAAAAAA